ATATACTGGACGATGAATCTTCTACAGAAATTGTGGACCTACCTGATGAGTAATCGGTAATGAATGCATCAATATGCATCATAATGATTTGATAAAGGTTTTGATAATCATCATCGGCGATAGAAAGTATGCGTATCGGATTTCTTGAATGCTGTCACCCAACAAACATTTTAGGTATAATATACGTCATTTCGACCTTAGAATAGGTCAACGACTTATTTGGCCTAAGTGAATATTACGTCTTATTAACTTCAAATTTACCAATATGGGGAAAAAACTGGAAGTAATTCAGAAGACGAGAATAGGGATATTAGGGTATCCTGACTAATAGGTCAAGGAAACAATTAGGTGAAATTGCCCTAATTCTAGTCCGATAGTGGTCTGATTTTAGTTATTCTGACGTTATTCATTACCTATACTTATGGGTGGGTTTACTAAGATTTCTACCTGGTTTACTGTCATTTGGTTGGGTTCGGAAAACAAATATGTACCGTGTTTCACGATCGACAATACCTACTCATTTACGTGTGGAGACTTAGGAGTTTATGAACATGGCGTTCAAAAGAAAACTCGATAGTAGTGGAAGGTGTAGATAATATGCATGTTGTTTAGCTTAGTTGGGGTTGTTGTGAATCGTTATTCAACCTGCGATGCGAAATTTATTGTGATAATGTTGATTTTACACATGTAAAATTAGTGGGCCCACGAAATTATTGGATTTGTAGAAAAATACTGGATGATATTCTTTGTGTTTTCGAATTATTTTTCAACAATTCCATCTAAAAATGAATCAACTGGTAGAATATGATCATATATGCGAAATTTAACCTTTTCTGTATTACTATTCATTAGGATATGGTCGCTATGTAGATATTTCTTCTTTTTCCGTCAATGGCGAAAGAGGTTCGAGCCAACAAATATGGCGTTGGTTTCATATTGGACTTGAAAGTCGAATTTTCCAGAATCTTCAACTTTCAGGGCGAATAGGCTTCGTTCATAGTCGAAAATTCTGTATATTCTGACTATGGAGCCCAATTTCCCCATATTGGGATTTTAGACCATATCAACGAGTAAATTATTTGAGTAGCAGTCAACCTGATAGATTAATATTATCAGATGTTCCCTATATAATCATATAATTTGTCAAATGTTCGTTGTTCGCCTTCAATTTCTTATTCTGCACCACGGTATGTTTTCTAATTGGTCGCTGGATGACAGGCTTCATTTTTCAGCGAATCAGAAAAGTCCATCGCCGTGTTGTCATCTCTCGAACAGTGTTGCCGTTCTAGTATACTTTTAGTACATTTGCCATTTTTGTACGTTCTCAACCGAAGTGTATTAATTGATACCTGTTTTTTTTATTAAAGTTATTTGAAATATGCATTCAGATCTGAAAAATGGAATAAGTGGAAGTAAAACTTCGAATGTCAAAACAAATCGATGGTTTAGATGATCAAACATCATCGTAATGTATAGAAAGATATCATGATTTGCTTTAGAAGCGTTCGAGCGGTAAGCTACCTGAACCACTCACTGGTGATAAAGAATAAAACATTCAAGACTCATACATTGCGCTTGTCTCCAGTTTTTAATATTTTCAGAAATTAATGATCATTTCAAAACATGTGCCGACCTCAAAGCACCAGGATTAATAATAGTCATCAACTTTGAGAACATGATTTTAGGACTAATTTTGGTATTCTCGGCTCTCTCAAGGACACTTCGTTCTATAAGGATTTCATAGTGGTAATCTTGCCTTCATCGGATATGAAGTTGGTACTGATTAGGTTAAAAAAAGTCTAAGAAACTCCTTCGACTCAATTGGTCAAAAATAGGCAAAACAGAGTATAAATCCGACTTATTTTATCCATCTGATTATTCCCTGACTTTATGATCGTTTATGAAGTTAGAATTTGGTAAATTTCAACTCCAATAAATATCCTGATAGTTCGAGGGCCTGGAAGACATTTTACTGGTAATTTTGATGTTAAATATTACTTAATTGATAACTAAATGCTCACTAGGACCATGAAGTTATGTTTGAAGTCTGTAATGAGTAGTTTCCAACTATGCAATTTGTCTGTGAAGTTGATGGTTTTTATGGAAAATGTTGAGGTCCTAACCAGGCATTTTACAACCTAATCCATAACTTTCAAGTTACTCAGGGCATAAAGGTAAAATATTTTGTCGGAAATTAGTAAATTTCGACTTCTTCGAGTAATATCTCCTCTCTGCTTGGTATAATTCTCTTAAAATGTTGGTTGGGCATTACCTATGCTGTCAAAGCGGCCTGTTTACTTTGTATTCATTGGTTCACTTTTGTTCGTGCTTATTGGTCATATATCTTACATCATCAAAACAAACCACTCATCAGAAGTGCTCAAGGGTTTGCCGTCAGGTGGAGCGACGTGTTATTTCCTATTGCGAATTGTTCTGGGTGTTTTATCCATATCAGTAATCAATATCTCACAAAGCCTAAAAACGAATGGATCACAACGATTCACGGTAGAAAACAATAAACATTACCCATAATCATCAATTGTTGTTATCGTCTCGCCGCGCCCTAATCGGTATAGTTGAAAATGCGAATACTCTGGCGCTACTGGCGGATAGAGTCACAGAGTGTCCAGCATTGTGAACTTTATTGTTGATATTAGTTATATTCTTTCATTCTGAACTAACTGAAATATTTTCCCTTGAACTGAACTGACTTATTATTTAACATGCATTCCATTGAAATGAAGTTTATCGAAAGAACGCTTGTTATATGATTCTGTTTCAGTTCTACTGAACAATTTCAGTTAGTTATGTTAGGCAGTATTTTTAAACACGCTCTTCGATCGAGATCGTCAACAGTGCTATTTTTTCACATGAAAACAGCCGTAATAATATTATATTCTCATCATTATTATAGAACTCCAAACTTTAGATTGCATATAATTGTTGTTGTTTGAAAATTGGTTTATCCGTCATTTGGTTGTCTCCTTACAAACAACTCTATAAGAATAAGTCATGTGCGAGCAAGGAATGACGGGGGCTTATGTGGGGCTTATCTTTGACCGTGTGATCCCAAATTCACCACTATTTATTGACTGAACGCTTTGGACCTCCTTTGGACCTAATTAGTATAGATGAGTATGAGAAAAAGCGAGTACAGAATGTTTTATAATCTTTGTCGCTAACCTGTCGAATTTGTAAAATTTTCATACGATGGCAAATTATCATTCAGGATATCAACATTACCAACATTTAGAAACCATCTCATATCCCATCAACCATATATCTAATGTTTTGTAGTTTTCATAAACTGGATTCGAGAGGATAAAAAACATTTTATGCACTCGCTTTTTTCCATAGTTTCCATAGCCACCTACTATTTTCAACTGGGGAAAAAGCCAAATACTCAAAGTGGAATGCAATGGTATAAATGATGAGATGCGTTTACGTTGGTTCAGGTTCGCACCAGATAGCGGTCAAGAAGCTATCTGCGACAGCCCTGTACTGATGAGAGCCAACAGCTCGAAACCGGTCTGCAGGTAATCAGCGTTCCTGATCCACTTAGCGCAGCTCAGCGTTTAGGAAGGAAACACTTGCGATTTTATTCGTCTATACGAACTATTGTATAGATTTCGGGAGGATGTAATCCAATGTTCTGCGTGGCACATAGCCACTGAACTATAACCCTACAAATGGAATGCCGATGCATGATATCAATAATACGCTCATTAGAACCTCGCGCAGACATGGCGGATTTAAGGTTGTGAGCATGCGCACTTATATTAAAACCAGGACCGGTCTTGCCAATGAACGATTATTTCTTGCCCATTGAAGTATGTTGAATTATGATGTGTAATAGTGTGCGAATTTACTATTTTCGAAGACTGTTATCAAATGATGACATTTGAACACAAAATACTTCGGCGTTATTTAGCCGGGTTTTGAATCATAATGTATAATACTATGAGAATTTACGTTTTTCGAAGACTCATCAAATGTTGACATTTGTAAACAAAATTCTTCAGCGTTATTTTGCCGAGCTTAAAATCTAGAGAAGAGAAAATGTCAATTTTCTTGAAACTCTGTCACAATATAGTTATTGATTATTGGTGGGAAAATAACACCAATTTGTTCATTTTTTCTCGAATTGTCAGCCCTCTCATGAACTCAGTTTGTTGTCTTTCAAGGTGATACAACTTTATTTTCAAGTATATCTCTACGGTAGGTTTTATAAACCTGAGATTATGATTTTCTAAAAGTGAATTGTGAAGGACATGATCATAATAGGAGAAACCTTGTTTTCTTTTTCCATTTCGGCACAAGAACATCATGCATCCCTGACACATATTGTCTAAATAATAGTATTTTAAATGAGAAGTCACCAAAATCACGGTCACAACTCAAAAATATAAACGAACAGAATACCATCCAAATACTAGGACACAAACACGATCATGAACAATGAAACAATGGAAATAAAAACCATATGAAAACGAACAATAATAAAGGCGTGGCAGATGATGGGTACAAAAATATCTAAGTCTCTCCTGATGAGAGCACACCTAATCAACGACATACGTCTGCGGTTGTGAGCAATTTCGATAATCAGGGACATTCTTTTCATATCTTGGTTCTACTGCGTCGGCGCAGAACCTTAAAGTCATGATCTCCATGGGAGGCGTAAAATATTCACGCGCAGGTAGCTGTATCAGCATTCCATTTGTAGGGTTATAGTTCAGTGCACATAGCCAGGAAAGTAGATTTTTCTCTCGTTATCTACTATTTTCGTTCATTTTATGAACTAGTGTGGTAATGACTTTGAATTTCTCTCTCCTTGTGACCATTGCATTCCACTTTGAGTATTTGGCTTTTTCCCTAGTTGTTATATATATATGTTTTGTTGTATATATCCCTATTATAAACAATATAATGTTTCTTGGGGTGATAAAGACAATCAATCAAGAAAGATTTTCTTGCTGCCCTACTTCAGTTCGACTTTCCAGGGACAATGAGCGAAATAGGCGACTGGGGCCATGAGTACATCCGCCAGCTGGAAAAAGAAATCGTCCTCCAGTGGTCCTTCAACTGCGAAAAGGCCGCTGACACCCTAGTCGCGCTCATCCACGACATCGTCGCTTTTAATTGCACCCACCACGCCGAAATCCAAGCGTGCGATTTGCTGATGGAGGTCGACCTGCTGCACCTGTTGCCGGCCTACGTGTCCAAGACCAACTACCAGCGGATGTGCCTCTATCTGCTGTCCTGCTCCAAGTATGTTGATGATGTGGAAAGGGCCAAAATCATGAGGCTGGTGGGCGAACAGTATTTAAGGTTCGGGGAGCACACCAGGGCGATGATAACGGCCATCCAGATGAACGATTCGGAGATGGTTGATAGGATTTTTTCGGTTTGTACAGACAGGTGAGGAACATTTCGTAATGCAATTTCAAGTCTTCGCAATAGGCAAGAACACAAATGTGTGGATTCAATTAATCAATTTTTTTGATCAAATATGCTGTAATACTGTAGAACCTAACGTAACTTCAACTAGACATCAGGGAACAGACCAGAAAAGTGAATGTGTTTCCTCTACTATGACTGCCTTGCACTAAGTAGGATCAACAGAATGAAACGGGTCTGCAGCTGGTTAGGTGTTGCTGGTTCTACATATCTTCAAATCAGTATTCGTTTATGCGAATCATTGCATATGTTTCAAAATGATGCTGATTAAATGCTGTAAATTGGTTGGTTGTGTTCGTTGTCAACCTTACCTGTAAGTATCATAGATATAATCTGGCGGTCCGCAAGGATCAATTTTGGGACCAACATTGTTCCTACCTCATATCAATGATCTATTATTGATGGGAATAACTACTTGTCCTCTCCATAGCTTCGCAGATGGTCGTACTCTCCATACTACGTTCTTTTCTAGACTTCCCATTTCTCCTATAAGAACTCACGACGAAGGCAGAGGTATTCATGCTGTCAATGCTGTTTCGAAATTTCTTCAGAATTTGGTAGAGCAATCAAAATACATATCGGCCATTTCTCAATAATAATTTGTGGCATTTTTTGTATATTTATTTGTGTTTAATTTTTCCGAAATAGCAATACTGACTAACCATATACACATTTTTTTTACAGAGTCACCTTATATCAGTTGGCATTCATTTGCGCACGCCACAATTTTCCAGTGAAGCTAGACCAAGATATGGAACATTCTGAAAAAATCGAAAATATTTTGAGCAACTCCCATTTGAGTACATATTTTCTCACACTAGCTAGAGAGGTGAGTCACTGAATAATATTCGAAATAGATCGAATCGAATCAATAATGAAATAATGTTTATAGTTAGACATCATGGAACCAAAATCACCGCAAGATGTTTACAAATCATGGTTGGAACCTATCCCACCTCGGTTGATTATCCTTGGAGAAAATCTAGACAGTGCACGACAAAACCTTGCTTCATCTCTAGTTAATGGCAAGTTATTATATACTTTTATGTTTCATCCATGTTCCATTTATTTATTTACAACTATCGAGTTAATTATCCATTGCTAACTTGATTTTCAACATTCAATCATAGCCAGTGCCTGTTTTTACGAAATTAGTAGAAGATAGTAAGTGGCGATACCTCTGAAGGAATGTCTCACTGACGAAATAAATATATGTTGGTTGATTCAAAATCATGGCCATTCTAATGATTGAATTTGAATTCGAGTTTATTCTCAGGATTTATTGTTACAGCAAAAATTTACGACAATTTAAATGAAACGTTATAGTATCTTTCCATAAAGACAACTTTAACCTTTACGCCACGTCCTAAGTCATAATATTAGGCAGGTGCAATATTGTCTCCAATATTACCCAATCAAAGCGAAGGTCAACGATTTCCTATGGTTTCCAACGCTGTCTTCTCAGAATGGGAATGAACTATAGGTATAGATAGGAAACAAATCCACAGGTTTCGTGAACAACGACAAACTGCTCACGGTGGACGGTGGCAATAAGGGGATCTACCGCAACAAGGAGCATGCCACCGCCGCCCCCAGGCTTCTCCGCATACTATCTTCTTGACTTGACTTTGACATTGTGGACAGACGGGTCCAACAGCATGTACGCCTCCTATTCGGGCCCGTTATGCACCGACTGCTGGAAATTGGTTCAGTCATGAAAGTAACCGATTTCGCGAGCGAAAGAGGCAACCTCAAGGCAGTCATCTTGGTCCACTATTTTTTAATATTTATATTAATAACATATAAATGTGCTTCAAACATTGCAACATTCTGCTTTATGCGGACGATTTAAAAATATACCGCAAAATAAAAACCTTGGATGACTGCCTCAAAATACAACAGGGCATCGACAGACTCGAAACATAATGTCGCAAGAACCAACTCTTTTTGAATGCATCGAAATGTTTCAACATATCCTTCACTAGAAAACTCAATAAATTAAATAACACGTATCAAATCAATAATTCGGACCTGAAGCGTGTATCTGAGATAAGAGACTTGGGAGTGACCCTTGATGAGAAATGGTTGTTTGAAATACATATCGAAAGGACGATAAACTCTGCTAACAGAATGGTTGGTTTCATAAACCAAAACTCGAAGGACTTTAATCACTCCAAAGCGCTTATCTCACTTTACTACGCTTTCGTTCATAGTAAAATATCTTTTGCCTCAGTCATTTGGAACACTCAATATACAACTTATACAAAACGAATCGAAAGTGTCCAAAACAGATTTTTACGATCTCTCGCATTCAAAACACACACAACTATCGAAGATCACAATAACTACCGTATCATCAGATCCCAACATAATATACTGAGCTTATCAGATAGGAGAGTTGTAACAGACCTATGTACGTTTCATAAAATACTGAATTCCCTAATAGACTCGCCATATCTTTTGTCTAAAATCGATTTCAGAATCCCTAACAGATCCTCCCGAAATACGGACTTATTTGCAATTTCGTACAGCAGGACGAATGTAGGACAGCATTCTTCTCTGAATAGAATGCATAATTTTTCTAACAGATATTGTAATAATCTGAACATAGACATTTTCTCAATATCACTACATAGATTCAAAATGATCCTCAAAAATCAGTTCACTCGAAATCGTCAATCATAGTTTCCTATAACTAAATATATTATAATACTCCATATAATATCTTTACTCGTATTATGTATATCTTTTGTATCGTTCTACAAGACTTGTTAATGTTTCTATCTTCTTTCACATCATGTACTTTAAATTTCCTTTGCTAACTATATAACTGATGTATATCTGGCCTCTCCACGTAGCTACAATGTGGATGCTATTTTGGTACTTTGTACTGAATGCAACCTAAAATCCTAAATAAATAAATAAATAAATAAATAAATAAATAAATAAATAAATAAATAAATAAATAAATAAATAAATAAATAAATAAATAAATAAATAAATAAATAAATAAATAAATAAATAAATAAATAAATAAATAAATAAATAAATAAATAAATAAATAAATAAATAAATAAATAAATAAATAAATAAATAAATAAATAAATAAATAAATAAATAAATAAATAAATAAATAAATAAATAAATAAATAAATAAATAAATAAATAAATAAATAAATAAATAAATAAATAAATAAATAAATAAATAAATAAATAAATAAATAAATAAATAAATAAATAAATAAATAAATAAATAAATAAATAAATAAATAAATAAATAAATAAATAAATAAATAAATAAATAAATAAATAAATAAATAAATAAATAAATAAATAAATAAATAAATAAATAAATAAATAAATAAATAAATAAATAAATAAATAAATAAATAAATAAATAAATAAATAAATAAATAAATAAATAAATAAATAAATAAATAAATAAATAAATAAATAAATAAATAAATAAATAAATAAATAAATAAATAAATAAATAAATAAATAAATAAATAAATAAATAAATAAATAAATAAATAAATAAATAAATAAATAAATAAATAAATAAATAAATAAATAAATAAATAAATAAATAAATAAATAAATAAATAAATAAATAAATAAATAAATAAATAAATAAATAAATAAATAAATAAATAAATAAATAAACCCTTCTAAACGATACCCTTCGCACATTCCCTGGGTTCAAAACGATGTTCCCGAGATGCGTTTACCGTATTGCTGCAACAGCTAGGCATTCCCTGAGGATATATGTGAGTAGCTGACTCCTCATCCTGCAGGCACCATCTACATTCAGCATCATCAGTAATACTCATAATGTTGAGGTGCCTGTTTAGATGGCAGTGCTCCGTGAGGAGCTCTACCACTATTCTGATTCCTTTCATGCTCAATGTGAGCAAAGTTTTAGTTCTTCTAGAAGGGCCTTCGAAGTAGAGTTTCGATTGTCTCATGCCAGGTGTCTCTTTCCATACCGAGTTCCATACATAATATTGTTTTATTTGAAATGTAGTGAAGAAAAAATCCACAGGTTTCGTGAAAGCCGGCTTCGGCTGCGACAAAATGCTTACGGTGGACGGCGGCAACAAGTGGATCTACCGCAACAAATAGCACGGCATACCGAGCGCCACTGCCGCCCTCGGGCGTCTCTACCTACAATGTTCTTATTTGAATTGTGATAATGACAAAAAAAATACACAGGTTTCGTAAATGCCGGCTTCAGCAGCGATTGACTGCCACGGTGGACGGCAACAAATAGATCTACCACAACAAATAGCACGGCTTGCAGAGCGTTACCGCTGCTCCTCGGCTTCTCTACCTGTAGTAGGTGAATACATAAAAAAAATCTACAGGTTTCGTGAATGACGGCTTCGACAGCGACAAACTGCTCACGGTGAAGGGCGGCAACAAGTTGATCTACAGAAACTTTCAAGCATGCCAAGCGCCACCGCCGCCCCCGGGCTTCTCCATCTACAATCTCCTTATTTAAAATGTAGTAAAGACTGAAAAATATCCACAGGTTTCGTGAATGCCGGCTTCGGCAGCGACAAACTCCTCACGGTGGACGGCGGCAACAAGTGGATCTACCGCAACAAGGAGCACGGCATGCTGAGCGCCACCGCCGCCCTCGGGCTGCTCCACCTGTGGGACGTCGACGGCGGCCTCACGCCCATCGACAAGTACCTCTACTCGGCAGACGACTACATCAAGTCGGGGGCGCTGCTCGCGCTCGGTATCGTGAATTGCAGGTAGGAGTTTGTTTTGCACCATCGAACATAAGTATAGGCGATTTCTATATACCAATCAGAGCGATTTGGACTATGGCGGCGAATTCAAATCATTGATTAAGACTGTATACAGGGTGTTTCACAGGTAAAGGGAAATATTTCAATGGTAGATAGGGGTCACCAAGGTGGTTCTGAAAATACCATATTTGATAGGTCTTAGAGTCTTCATAACGGAGATACAGGGCGATTTATAGATTTCGAATAATTCTTCATTCGTCTATAAGTATTGAACTACCCAGTATATTTTTCTAAAATTTGGTATGGAGCGTATACTTGGGACGTTGAATTCATTCACCTATCGGGCGAAGTGAAAATCCAGGTTCGGCTTCAGGAAAAATTTACATTTATTCGAAATATTAAAATAACACACTGTAAGTAATAATTGAAAGAGTTCATCAAAGGAATCGTGAAGAAGAGGAAAAACTGAACTGGATTCGATGCTTTTTGTTTTCCTGCCACCAATTCTCAGCGTAAAAATCATAAACAGGAAGCTAAAAGTATGTCAATTTCAAGAGTATCAAAATTATGAAACCACTTCCAATTATGATTATTTGATATATTCTTGTTAAATGATCTTTCAAAAGAACTTACTAAGTCTCACAGTCTTTATAACAGAGATACAAGGTGAATTATCGGTTTCGAATAATTATTCACTCGTCCATAAGTATGGAAATACAGGTTCAGCTTCAGGAAAAGTCTCATAGTCTTTATAACAGAGATACAGGGTGAATTATTGAATTATAATTATTTGGTATTATTTCCATTCCGCCTGATAGCTTAATGAATCCATCGTCCCAAGTAAGCTACATACCAAATTTGAGAAAATGTTACTGGGTAGTTTTATACTTATGGACGAGTGAATAATTATCCAAAACCGATAATTCACCCTGTATCTCCGTTATAAAAACTGTGAGACTTAGTAAGTTCTTTCGAGCGATTTTTTGACCAAGATATATCGAATAATCATAATTGACACTGGTTTCATAATTTCAATACTCTTGAAATTGACATACTTTTAGCTTCCTGTTTATGATTTTTACGCTGAGAATTGGTGGCGGAAAACAAAAAGCATCGAATCCAGTTCAGTTTTTCCTCTTCTTCACGATTCCTTTGATGAACTCTGTCAATTATTACTTACAGTGTGTTATTTTAATATTTCGAATAAATGTAAATTCTTCCTGAAGCCGAACCTGGATTTTCACTTCGCCCGATAGGTGAATGAATTCAACGTCCCAAGTATACGCTCCATACCAAATTTTAGAAAAATATACTGGGTAGTTCAATACTTATAGACGAATGAAGAATTATTCGAAATCTATAAATCGCCCTGTATCTCCGTTATGAAGACTCTAAGACCTATCAAATATGGTATTTTCAGAACCACCTTGGTGACCCCTATCTACCATTGAAATATTTCCCTTTACCTGTGAAACACCCTGTATATTACGTTCATTTTATTATTTTTTTTTTTATTTTCTTCCTTTATTGATTCAAGTGAAATCTACATTATTTGTCGTTGAATATTAATAAATTACATGTATATATATAAGTATTTCATATTGTATCTCCTTTACATAGGTTAGCGACCTGTGTGTGAAAAAGATGAATTATTTCATAGGAGTATAACATTGTTTTTCACAGCAGTATAAATATTTAAACTGACAACAAATAATCAATTCACACAATAATGATAATAAATTAAGATGAAGAAAAACAGAGTTGATTAAAAAAGATCATCGACTTTTTTTGCATTTTCTATCAGCCAACATTCAACTTCTTTTTTGAAAGTTATAATATTCAGACGAATCAATTTTGATGATTGATTGATTGATTAATAGCAGAATGATCAGTCAGGGTTCAAAGCCCAAAACGCTGCAGCCTTTGGATCTATTGTATTCCTGATCATGATGTTGATTTAGGTGAACAGGTTCGCTACCTTGATATGGTTTAGCAGCCTCTTCACCAAATCATTCGTTGGAAAAGTCTCTTGAGAGTTCAATGCTATCAGAAGGTTGTATCTCCAACGCGCTAGTGCTTCGCACTCCAATATTACATGGGTGGCAGTTTCCTCCTCCTCATTGCATAGTCTGCATATGGGTTCGTCTGTATAGATATCCATTTGATGCATATGTTTCCTTAAGGGGCAGTGACCAATTATTAGTCCCGTCCTTTGTCTGATCTGACTTCTGTTTAGGCTTAGAATGTCGTTAGTCACTGTTCTGGACAGTGTTCCAACCATTAGTTTACTGTGTCTTTGTCCTGGAACATTGTTCCAGTATGCCTGATGTCTTTCTTGCATCCACCTTGCCAGCCAGCGGCGTATTGAGGTTTTGGGGATACCGAACACAGGTTTCGGTCCCATAAACAACGCCGCAGCCCTCTGCCTAGCAAGAGCGTCAGCTCCTTCATGTTAAAGATTGAATGGCCGCCTGACTATCTGAGCATATGAGGATTTGTTTACCCCTGTATCCTCTTACGATATTCTCTCTCAGACATGCCTCAATAGCATGCACCTCTGCCTGGAATACTGAAGCATACCTCCCCAAGGAAGCACAAATCCTAGTTCTGAGTCTATCTCCATATATTCGGGCTCCCGTGCCCTCATCAGTCTTAGATCCGTCAGTGTACCACACAAACGTGCCTTCCTTCAATTTTGATAGTATTTTATTTTGAATTTTGAATCCAATAAAACTATAATGTTTTTCTTGACATCTAAGCTTATGTTTTTCAAATCGTACATTGTTGATTTCGTCTCCTATACCATAACTATCTGATTGATTTTATTAGTTATTGCCAAATTCTCTTTAATAAAGATTATTGGCTCCTTAAAAAGTAATTGCCTAACGTTCATCATATTATATTTTCTGAAAACAATAAGGCTGATGGATAATCATTTGATTTAAAGAATATTATTTTCAAAACACATTTTTGAATACATAACAAAGGTTTTAGATGAGTTTCATACATATCATCGCATCTAATTATTTCATACGATAATATAGATTGGAAGAGAGTGTGATAAAAAATGATTATTAAATGTCTACTGATGATATTACGCAAAAGTCTGAATTTTTGGAAGGGAACTTCAAAGCTTCTTTGTTAGTTCTGAGACATGATAATTCCTCTTCAAATTTTAATCAATGTATATATAAACTGAAATCATCGTACGGTATCGAATTCTGGGGAAATTCAGTCTACATCTCCACAATCATTTTACAAAAAAAAGCTATTTGTGCTCTTTCGGGACTAAAACGTTCACAATCATGTAGATAACACCTTCATTTGCATGTAATTACCTGTTCCGGGTGTTTGTGAGAAGTAGATAAAATGAAATTAAAATAAAACATGATTCGTGTATAAAAATCGTGTTTTCATGGCACATTCAAGAGAATTTTTGGCCTTGACCTCTCATGAGTGATTATAAAAAATACACTGATTTTACGTACTTGATACAAAAATAACTTCCGCATAAGAAAGGACACTACTTTCTCCAAACAATCTAACCTATTCAGCCTAAATGAATCTTTTTCCTACAAAGTATATTTTTCGGAATATTACTTGAGGATAAAATTGAAAATAAAATTCTGTACGGGACTGAACCCGAACCGTCTGCGTGGCAATCGCTTGACCCACTATACCAAGAGCTCACCACAAATCGCATGCTCATTGCTGCTAGGCAAGAAGCAATTGCGACGAAAAATACTCGTCAGCACGCAGGCACTTTTTGGAGGCCTGTTCGTTTGTATTGCTAAACTTGCTAAAGCTGATTATTTTCCCATAGTTGTCTCTGTTCATGGTATGATGTAAACAGAGAGTCATAGAAAAAAATCAAGTTCAGCAGGTAGATCAAGCACAAACGAACAGGCCTTGGGTCGTTCTGATTGATCTTTAGGAATCGCCTACACGTATGTTGGGGCAAAATAAATATTTGTGTAAATTACAGGGTGAGGAACGAGTGCGATCCTGCGTTGGCGCTGCTAGGAGACTATGTGGCGGCGGAGAGCGAGGTGCTGCAGGTCGGCGCCATTTTGGGGCTCGGCTTGGCTTATGCCGGTGAGCGTCGCTCGTGTTGAACCACACATTATTCTCAGAATGAACTCAATACTCTCATGTAGACAATTTATTGTTTTTCTAATAGAGCAGTTCAGCAAGCGTTGAGAGAGAAAAAAAAAGGTCTTCCTCATCTGTCCTTGTCCTTAGTGTTCCAACGTAAAATAATGGAAATTTTGAGTTGGTAACATTGGAAATGAGAAAAATGGATAAGAAGATCATATTAACATCAATAACTTCAGATTTCAATGCAAACAAAACACAAGCATGCCTTTTCCCTAGAAAAGCCGATCTCACTGTGCCAAACATAAGCTTGACAGGAGGAACCATACCTTTGGGGACATCCATTTCGATGCTTGGGATTACTATCAGCAATAACCTTTCTTGGGAAAATCACGTGAGATCAATTATTGCTAAAAGTGCACTCCAAAAACTTGGTTTTCTGTTAGGGGCCAGGAACTATTTCACTTCCAGTCAGCTGCTTATGATCTATAAGCCACAGATCCGACCTGTCCTGGAATACTGTTCCCATAATTGGAGTGCAGCGCCCAAACATGCCCTGAAACTGTAGGATTCTGTCAAAAAAGGCAATTCGTCTCGTGGGTGATGCCTCGCTCACAAACTCACTCACTTCTCTGGAACATCGTAGAAAAGTTGGCGATCTGGCTCTATTTTATAGATATTTTCATGAACGATGCTTCTGAAATATCAACAATTGTTCCTTCCCTGGCAGCCCCGCGAGATTTACCCGTCGAAATGCGGCTTCGCACCCCTTCGTGGTCACTTTGGAGACCTGCAGAACATCTCTTTCCAAAGACTCGTTCATCTAACGAACAGCGAGGCTTGCCAACATGAATTTCTTATTGTTTTATGTTGGAACACTGAAGACAAGGACAGATGCGAAAGACATTTTTTTCTCTCTCAACGCTAGCTGAACTGCTCTATCGCCATTCGCTGTACTAGAATCAAGAATAATGACATTTTCCTCAATATATTTCTGAGTAAGGCGAATGAATTATAGTGTAGGCTCGAATGGCCGAATGTTAAGCCGCTCCAGATCAATAATCGCTAGATTTCGGGTAACGTGAATTTTTGCCTGTGCAAGTATTTCAGCACGATCCCCACAATGAATCGCACTCTCTTAGGAGGACGTCGTTGTGTACCCAAAATATATAGCCAATTTGAGTATAGCGATTTCTGTAGGGTGCAAAATTATAGGTCGCATATCATTTTCATCGAAGACATTTATGGCGAAAAAATTCGAAAATATTTATTTGGCTATGAGCATTCATGTCGAAAAAAATTATAGCGAAATATAATTATTGGAAACATTTCTTTGGCTATGGGCATTCACTATATATTCGCGAGCGTCAAGGTCATTAGTCATTAGATGACGTTGCGATGACATTCAAGACTACGGGAAATTATCTCAACATAGATTGAAAGTTTTCCTGTAGTTTTTAATGTCATTGTAACGTCATCTTATGATCTCGGCGACCGCGAATAGGTTTTTGCTCTTATTCTCTTGATGCAGTATTCATTTCTAGTGAAAATAACCATAACCATAACGCCGCTAGCAACCATACGATTTTTAAAAACAGAAAATCAAATGAATTAACTCATCAAATTTCATAAGAACGCTCTGACCATTATTTATTGAAATTTCAACTGCAACGTCAGTGATTGTCGACTTTTATTTTCAAATGGCACGTACTATAAGTTTTTTCTGTTCGAGATTTTTTCCGCATACAGTGATGTATCATATGAACAGTTGAATTTGTACAAAATTGGTTGAAATAAAAAATAAATGCTCTTTTGACAATAAATGAGTATATTGTTCAACGGATGACGAAAGAAACATTATTCGAAGCGAGAAACAGCAATTTGCACGAGCTTCAAAAATTTTTCGATGAGTGAACCACTATAATTTTTCTACACAACACCGTCTATTTATATTAGGTGCGTTCGGTTATAACATATCTGTTAGCTCGATTCCATCTGTTAGCTCGGAAAGCGTTCGATAAATCAGATCTACTTCCTCTGTCTAATCTGCTCCGTGTTCGTTAATTGTCAGAGCGAGCTGAAAGATGTAATCTGTTTGCTCCGCCTTGAGGAGCAGATCATTCAGATTTGATCGGTTATTCGGTTGTCAATTGTCAACAAATCAATGTCAACAACATGTTATTGAAATTATATCTCTTTTATGTCGAAAAATTGAAGACTCGATCAACTGGAAACGAAACACGAAAACTGAATTTTGTAAAATCCTCTGCCCAGAATCGCCAGAATGACCGACGAATTTGCTGTAGGTAGCATATTGATTATACAGGGTGTTTCATAATTGAATGCTGATCCTAATCCTTGGATGATTTTAAGAAAAATTCTTCATGTGAACATAGGTCCGTAACAGCTTCGTTTCTGAGATACAGGATGTTGAAATTTAACAAAAAATCAGTTATTCCCCAATATCTCTGAAACCGCTCTGGCTTTTTTCTTCATTACAAATACTTGAAAATAGTTACCATAAAATTATAAAAATATTGCTTAGATCTTTTGGTTACCACAATTGTGAAATTATGACTAAGAGTAAAAATCGAATAGGGACAAGCAAATGAATGCATTTTATTTTTTAACTCAAATACCGTTCGCCGGACGAAAAAAAGACAAGAGATCATTTTTATGAGAAGATAGAGGATAATTACAAAAATGATATTTATTTGGAAAAAAGGCAGTGGCGTATCATTATTTTGATGAAAAATATGACAGGGTATGTTAACAGGGACGCCACTGATGGAAATTAAGAAATCCTTTATTATGGAAAAAATGTATTTCTATTCATACTTGGCATGTACCGGAATTGAAGAAAAAAGCCAGAGCTGTTTCAGAGATATTGGGGAATAACTGATTTTTTTGTTAAATTTCAACATCCTGTATCTCAGAAACGAAGCTGTTACGGACCTATGTTCAAATGAAGAATGTTTCTTAAAATCATCCAAGGATTATCGCCCTTTAGGATCAGCATTCAATTATGAAACACCCTGTATATCTGTAATATATGCGATCACAACTGCCCTGGATCCACATTGCAGTTAATAACCGATCATATAAGACATAATCATTCCTTCCCTAGTAATTATCAAAATATAACAACAAACATTCAAAAGAACTTTGTTGCCCTGACGTGTTTTTAAAAGTAATAAGGTTAAGTGAATTGTTTCTGTTTTCTGTTACTTCTGACAGCTGGCGCTCGCAATCTACTACCTCCTTGAGCGTTCGTTAAATATCTTTAGCTCTATCTGCTAGGTGATCACGTGACACCAAATCTGCATCTGCTCGCTCGGCTCCGATTTTGTTAAACCGAACGCACCTATTATAACAATATACTTTCTGTGACAAGAAAAGAGTTTGAAATTTGATCTCTATTGACAGGAAACAAAAATGCAACTTTTTTCACTAGAAACGAAAGTTGACGTGAAATTACGTTTTCGCTCAAGGTATTCTATTACAAAATGAAAAAAATTATATTTTTGCACAGCTATATAGTCTTTTGTCTATCATTTTGATTTGTATATCTATGCTCAATGAGAAATGTCCTATTCGTTCGATTTGTTTCAATCGTATGAGGTCGAGTTTAATTGTAGGTATGTAGTGACTAATAGTAACAGCTCTCATAAGGAATATGTCAACAATAAAAAAATAATTTCGCTCTTCCATGACTATATATCGCTCTTTAGGTCGTTCGATCTCAAGGTATTTTACTCATTGACATTTCTTTCTAATCGGTGCGTCCTAAAATTTAGAGAAACGGTTAAATTAGTAAAGTAGTAGCAAATTTGATGTTGAATCAGAATCTATCGAGAAATCCAGGATATTTTTAGTCGTTCTCGAGTTATTTGAGAAAAACTGAAATCTTGTATTTTTGTTTTTCTCAAATATCTCCGAAACTATTGATTTTATGAAAAAATGACTTCAACATTCTCATGGCACGTTTTGGTGCTATTTTCAATGGTTTTGTCAGTTTTCCATCAAAATGTCAAATTTCTGAGATATCACCTTCAACTTCAATTTTTCTAATGGACGCCATATTGAATTTTTACAGATTTGAAATAAACATAAAATTTCCTTTCTAGTGATGTATCACAATCACAGTTTTATTCTATTTGGGGTCCTGATTTCCAATTTTTGTTGGTATATCCAGCAGGTTATGTATTCTGTAACTAATATAATACTCGAATTCATTACGTTGTGTTATTAGTTACTACCTCACTCCACCAGAGATTATGAATTCTGTGTTCTATGTTCTTGCATAACTTATCGCATGGAATTGGAGGTGTACTATAATAGCAGAAAAAAAATTAACAAGTGAATAATACAAATACTAAAAAAAAAATCAATTGAACTGCTCGAAATGGCCCCCATTGTTCTCGATACATTTTAATATTCGCGAGCGAACATGATTCACTGCTTTTCTCAGATGAACTCTGTTGATGCTCTGGAATGTTGAATTGGCTCTTCATAAATTTTATTTTTGGCGTAGCCCCCAGGTAAGAATCGAGATGCGTACAATCAGGCGACCTTGGAGGCCATCTCACAGGTCCATGAGTATTAATTAATTCAGCACCAAATTCATTTTCGAGATATTCCCCAACCAATCGCGTATTGTGCGGTGGGGCACCATCATGCTGAATCCACATTAACTCATATTCAGCAAGTGGCATCTCGTCTATGAAATCCGAAATCTCATTTCTCAATAGCTCTAAATAACGTGGACCATTCATCTATTTCAAGCTATAATCGTTGATTATTGGACCTAGTAGTCTACTGCCTGAAAAAAATACACAATGAGAAACAGTTATTATTTATGGACAAAAATTCTAGTAAGGTACCTACCAAATATCCCACACCAAACATTGGAACCAAATTTGTTCTGCCACTTTGATTCTCTGATGACATGCGGATTATTTCGTGCCCATCAGTAATGATGATTATGTTTATTGTAGATTCCATTATTATGAAATCTCGTTTGATCGGTCCAGCAGATATTCAATGGAAAGTTCTCGATTCTTCACACTGGTTGACGAACCAGTGACAAAACTCGAAACGCCGTTCATTATCACCAGGTCTTAACCCTTGTACTATCACTGGTTTGGGAGGGTGGTACTTATCATTCAGTAAATGTCTGTGAATTGTTGTTTTCGGCACAAGAGTTCTCCGACTAAGCTCTCGAATTGAAATGCTAGGAGTTTGATTGATGATTCCTTCGATATTTGCAATTTCTTGTTCAGAGTTCTCCGACTAAGCTCTCGAATTGAAATGGTGTAGGGGTTTGATTGATGATTCCTTCGATATTTGCAATTTCTTGTTCATCCAAGCGCAAATCATACCTTGGCCTAGGTGCAATGAAGCATCCATGCTCTTGTAAATTTATTTGTGATGTTAAAATAGAAGGATGCGGTTGTTGCTGTTTCTCTGATATTTTGATTATTTCTGATGTAACAATTGTACATATCAAATTTTTCGAGATTCGTGAACGGCATTGTTTGCCCCGAAATAATTAACTTGTATTTTCTCTTGACGTTTACAGAAATGTCACTTGGCTCCAAGCCTACTCTATGAAAGTTTGCCAGAACACATAATCGTTATTGTTTATAGAGTTTAGCGCATAGCCTACTGGACATAAAAACAAAAATTGGAAATCAGGACCCCAAATAGAATAGAACTCACAGTGTGATACATCACGAGAAAGGAAATTTTATGCAGATTTAAAATCTGTGAAAATCCAATATGGCGTCCATTAGAAAACTGACAAAACTATTGAAAAGAGCACCAAAATGTGCCATGAGAATGTTGAAGTCATTTTTTCATAAAATCAATAGTATCGGAGATATTTGAGAAAAACAAAAATACAAGATTTCAGTTTTTCTCAAATAACTCGAGAACGACTAAAACTATCCTGGATTTCTTGATAAATTCTGATTCAACATTAAATTTGCTACAACTTTGCAAATTTAACCGTTTCTCTATCTCTCATAGTTACTGAGATCCCAATGGTGAGGATCGAATTCGGGACACACTGTATAGCTTTTCTCAGAAAAGACACCCGTCCTTATCCCTTTCAGGCACTCACCGGCAAGACGTGATCGAGCTGCTGCTGCCACTCGTCCCCTCCGCCAAATCGTTGGAGGTGGTAGGCGTGGCCAGCCTGTCGTGCGGCCTCGTGTCCGTCGGCGAGCCGAACAACCAGGTGTCCGCCACCGTGCTCGACAGGATCATCGAGCTGAACGGCACGGAGGCGCTGCGGTCGCCCCACCTGCGGCTGGTCGCGCTCGGCCTATCCTTGTGCTATTTCGGGGTGAGAATGTTAGAATCAGAAGGATCTTCATTTATTTATTTACTTATCTATTTCAGTTAGTGCGTTACATACTTCTCTTCATTGATAAATTTTATACAAATAATATATAAAGTATAATTAATTTTCTAGTAGGAATGACAAGAATGATCAGACAGTAATTCCTGAGGAATCAACATTTTCCTGTGTCAATCATCAATTTTTTTCATTACTCACCTGAGAAATCACCAAATAATTTGAGAAATTCCTGTAATGAAAACTCTGAGATAGTATATTACACACCGCTTTGCGTCTCGGTTAACTAACTAATCTCACGACAGGAATGTAACTCCCTACCGAGGTTTGTATACTATTTTATTTATCTGATGGCATGTCATAATGACAACGTTATGTCACTCAATTTTGATGACATAAGGAAGCTCATTATGGGACTAAGTACCATTATGAAATTCTATAAGGAAAACATGTAATGGTTTGATCAAAAAAGTTTATTCAAAATGCATAACTATGTACAAAACTATTTATTATAAATGGTAAAAAAACAATTACTACAATTTGTAATATTAATATAATGGCAAAGCACAGCTCACTCACCTACTAATATTTGAAACTACACAATACTTACTCCTTTAAAAATAGTTGTCATTGTGACATGTCGAAAATGCAGATATTGAAGTATTGTTTTTGTTCTTCTGTGGCATTTCTTTGTTTGCCTACTGAGAGGTATCCCTGGGATGTTTTGGGATGTTTTAGAAATGTAAGCATGAGGATGTTTTTTTGAGGCGTGATATGCACTTCCCAAAGAGGTCTTAGAAGGATATTGGAAGTATTGTTTTTGTTCTTTTGTGCCCTTTCTTTGTTTGCCCCACCACAACGTCTCATGCTTACGTCACAATACGATGAATTCTGATTTGTTTTCGATTTTGTTCTTCTTGTTCGCAATTGGCATTCGCGTTTGCAGCGTGTCACGCGTACATCACGCTGCTAACGAACAGAAAGGAATTTGGTGAAGTTTATTGTGTTAGAAGACTTATTTAGTTTGTAATAATGACCATCAGATGCAAGATGCGTTGTTCGGTGTCTCAGTGTAATCAATATATAAAAGTACGAATTTATCAATACACAGCTTCTCCGCAGTTGCAAAATTATGCATTGTGGAGAACATTTCAAAAATTGGGAAACCTATTTCCAATTATATGTCTGTGTGTAGTAAGCACTACTCAGAAACCGATTAAGAAGGTAATTTCATATCAAGAAAATATTTTTATGTTCAATCTATTTTTAATGCATTTTTTCATTCAAGGGAAATGGAATCCTAATGCAAAAGTTCATTTTGACAAAAGGCTTCAGAAAAGTACCTCGAAAATGTTTTTTTTACAGCGATTTAATGTGCGCAAGACGCATTGAAAATGTTCTGTTGTGTCCATGAAAAGGCTTTAAAAAGAACTATATAGAGAGAAGGTAGTTTTGTGACATATCAAGGACATCTCGATAATTGCCGCCTGCGGCGGACATTGGCTGTTCTATAATAGTTCTATTCATGTGTGAACAGAACATCGCATTGGAGGTTCAATGTCTCGAAATCTCGTACTTTTAACATCTCTGAGATGTTTTTGTGCTCGCTGGGTATGTGATAATGAATCATATAAACCCTAAAAATGTGACCGGAAGTAATGTTATCGTCCCTTGGGCTGTTAAACGCATAACACGATTCTGCAGTTTTTCACTATCTATGTAGACATCTTTGACTGTCACTTGCGTGTTGCGTATTTTGACGTTTCACATGAATTTTAATTAAACGTCAATGTCAATCATAGTTCGGAATCGAGAGAACAATTATTATGCTTTTGGTAGGCGAAAAACAGTTGTGTCACACATGCAGCTCGCGGCTATTAGCTGCTCATTTTCTGCCTTTGTGACACAATATACTATTTCGAGCTATAATAGTACATCAGAGTCATACCAGCAAAAATAAATAGTATAAGATTATAAATGGAGACACAATAATTTCAACACTCAAACACATTTTTATTCAGTCAGGACAGCTTGTACGACGATGGCCGTTTATAAAAATACAACATTAACAAGTTCTTCGTTCTGATGCTACGATGCTAATGACTGAACCTGCTTCAATCTTCGATCACACGATGATTACGAATACCGATGAGTCGTCGAGGCCGCTTGTGATAAGGCATTTCTTGAGCGTTCTTCTCAATTACGAGGTGATTTGAACATCGTCGCTAACAATAGAAAAATGAATTTTTGAAATCAGCGAAAGTCAGGTTCCCTAATAGCACGGCTCGATATCTGCCATCTTGTAAAAAAGTAACGCTAATTCGGTTTGTCTCCCATATCTCAGTGCATGCTGATTTTATCATCACCTTCGATTCGTATCGTAACTTTAACTCTTGATCGTTGCATAAAATACAGTTTTCAAATTATCTTTACATATTTTTCGAAAAATTCTATTTTCACAGGTAAGAGATGCTGTCGATGTGCCTACGGAAGCGACCAATATTTTGGAGGAGCCCTTCAAGACCTTCATCCAAACTATGCTGTTGATGTGCGCTTATGCTGGAACAGGTGATGTGCTGATCATTCAAGAGCTGTTACATATAGTGGGAGAGAAGGTTTGCTATGTGTTCATTAACATAATTATTAATTAATATTGGTTCTTCATATTCTAATAAGTTTTTTAGTGGTCTGTCATCCATAGTCAGGTTAAGTGAGTGGATCTATTCGGTCTATTTTCCTTTAGACTTTCTGAAAAATTATAGGAATAGTCAGGTTGTTACAAATATATAAATCTAAAACTAGATAAATGACAAATTACATAATATGATAGACGAACATTATATAAAAGAGAGAAACATGGTCATTTATGAAAATATTCGTTAAGAGAGTATAAACACTTTTCTATGAGAAATGATTTCAAGCATTTTTTGAAAGAAGATACTTTTTTCGCGTTTTTCAAATATTCAGGTAAGTTATTGAATATTCTGGGACCTAGGATTTTTGGTATATTACTCAAAGTGCAGCAATGATCTCTTAATCCTCTTTCTAATTAGCCCCCAGCTCCGATTCCCGATTCCTATACCTGATCTACCAGTTTTTCCTCACCCTAATAGTTACCTGCATAGAATTTTCTGATCATTAGTGAAATCCTTCTTGAATAATATCAATAATAACGACAATATTATTGTATGTATGTATGTATGTATGTGTGTGGGCGGTCCGGGACCTGACGCACTTAGGCCTCCCTTTTCGGGCCCATTGTGCACCCACATTCCTGGGATCGCAAGTCAGCCATGGAGAAGGCCGATCTCGCGAGCAAAAGAGACCAACTTCCTAGGCCAAATCTTCTTAACATCCTCTGGGTCCAGGATACTGCTCCCAAAATGGATATCCCTTGCTGCCACTATTGCCGGGCATTCAGTGAGGATGTGAGTAGAAGTCTCTTCATCCTCTAGGCACCATCTGCATTCTGGATCCTCCACAATCCCGATCATACTGAGATGTTTGTTCAGGTGGCAGTGCCCTGTCAGCAGGCCCACCACCAGTTTCAGCTCCTTCCTGTTCAAAGCCAAGAGGGCATTGGTCTGTCTTCGTGACGGGTTTCCTATATGGAGTTTGGACTGCCTCATTCGAGGAGCCTTTCTCCAGCTGTCCTGAACCTTTTCCGTCAGGATTTCCTTCATCTTGGAGTTGCTCCAGGATCGAGTGACCCCTAAGATTGGCTCTGGGCCAATCACTGAACCTTTCGCCCCCTTTCTGGCCAGACCATCGGCCATTTCGTTACCTGGTACCCCTGAGTGTCCAGGGACCCACAAAAGACATACCTTATTCGTTGCTGACAGCCTTTGTAGGCTATCTATGCACTCTGACACCAAGGCGGAGGTCACCCTATACGAGGTGAGCGCCTTGATCGCCGCCTGGCTGTCAGTGCATATAGTGATTTGCTGGCTGTGATAGCCTCTCTCGATATTCTCTCGAACACATGCAAGTATTGCAAATACTTCAGCCTGAAAAATCGTGGCATGTTTCCCAAGGGTATAGCAGTGATTTGCCCTTGGAGACTGCCCATAGACCCCAGCACCTGCGCATTCTTCCATCCTGGAGCCATCTCTATACCAGATGATGCCCTTGGTGGGTATTATGCAGTGCCCATTCTGTTCCCAGTCTATCCTAGTAGGAATCTTGACTTGGGGCATTTTCCTAAATCGAATGATCGGTGTTATGCTGTCCCCTTTCATACTGAGTGAGGGGTAGTCGTCTGTAATTTGCTTCCAGAGGCGAGAATGTCCGTATGTTCCTTCGCTCCTCCACTGGTTACAGTTTTGTAAGCGAACGGCGGCCTTCATCGCCTCATGTTCTATATACAGGTTCAGAGGCGGCAGTCCGGTCAGAGTCTCCAACGCCCTTGTCGGCGCCGTCCTCATTGCTCCTGTTATGGATATGCTGGCCAGTCGTTGAACTCTGTCTAGCTGTCTCCTCGACTTGCCTGTCAGCGTCCCCGGCCACCATACGATGGCCCCATATGTTATCATTGGACGTATGAGAGCGGTGTACACCCAGTTAAGGATACTTGGCTTGAGCCCCCACGTTCCCCCAAACGTCCTTCTGCACGCCCAGAACGCTGCCGTAGCCTTCTGGACCTTCCTCTCAATATGCTCGTTCCAATTGAGCCTAGAGTCAAGAATGACTCCTAGATATTTGGTGGAGCCTTTATACCGCAGGGACTTGCCCGATAGTCGTATATCGGGGAGGTCCCCTGCCTTGCGTTTTCTGGTGAAAAGTACTAATTCCCACAATAGTATTATTCATTTGTCAAAAGTCTTTATATGACAATAATTATAAGGAAAAGAAGTCAATTTTCTTGCACCAAATCCTCTAGATAAGCTGGTTACAGTCTATCAATCGAAATAAACTTTCCTCCTCCTTTGATAAGTAGTTTAAAATTGTTTCCATCTCTTTCAAGAACTTTGAAGGCTGTAGCATAGGGCGCTTGTAGGGGCTTCTTCACACAATCTACCCTCACAAAAACGAATGGGGTTTTGAATAAATTCTCCATGTATTCCTTGAGTGTACGAACAAACTGGACTGGTCCGAGCTGAGGTGAAACTCCATGGTGTTGCATTCCGAATTCTCCAGGAATCTGGAGAGTGGTTCCGTATAACATTTCTGAACTCGTTGATAGGATGTCTTCTTTATAGGTGGTTCTCATTCCCAATAGAACAGTCGGTAATATGTCGGTCCATTTATTATTTCGGTATCATTTGAGGAAAGCTTTCAAGGTCCTATATGCATTCTTTCCACCATTCCATTAGAACAAGGGAACGAAAAACAATATTCTCATTTTAATTATCAACAATATTCCTATTTTAATTATCGGAACTCAGATGGATTCGTTTACTGAGGTAAATTAATAATATTCGATATATTTTCAATTTCATTACTTTTTTTTCAATTTCAGGATACTATATACATCCTTTGCTTGTGCTTACTGTGCACAAGAATAATTATGGACTTTTATTGGGTGTCATAATTGAAAATCAAATACTGGCAGAGCATGAATGTTTCAAAAACGATGAAAACTATAATTTGACAAATGACTGGCACTCCGTAAATAAACCACATCCGTAATCACCTAGATAACCATTGTCAAAATTGTTGGTAAAGGCCCTGAGAGCATCGGTAACCTCGGTTGATTAACGGAACACATCCTAGGTATTGATAGTTCTGCTCGCCAGTGGTGGTTAGATTACAAAGACATTTAAATACGTCTCTACCAGTGAGAATCCGAAATAAAAAAGCGCGCCAATTTGATTTTCAGCTATACTTCGAAAGTCGCTTATTCTTATTTTCTACGATTCATATCTAAAAAATTCCTAGTAGGCCACTGTCCGTTCAAGTTTTGCATTTTGATTGGCTTTCTTTCTGGACGTATCCAGGGACCAGGATCACATTTCACCAATTAAGCTTCCTACCTTGGTGGAGAAGAAATAGTAAAATGCGCCATGGGCAAAAGTTTTCAATTATCGAACGACTCGAACTGAGAATAGTGTTTTCGTAAAAAAAACATACGTCCTTTCTACCAAACCTAGTATTTGGAGAAATTAGCAGTTTTCGGAGAATTGAGAGGAAATAAAGTGTTCTCCTTCAGGTCGACTTGCCGAAGAAAGAGAAAAAAGACAAGAAGGAGAAGCGAGAGAGGAAGGATAAGGATGGCAAGGGGCAGCCAGATAATCAGGACAAGGATGGCGTGACGTCGATAAAGGCGCCAAAGAAAACCGAGTGGGATCATTCGATGGGTCAAGCGATGGCCACTCTGGGCGTCGCTGTGGTTTCGATGGGAGAAGATATAGGTGAACATCATTATTTTTGATTCCTTACATAACATAACGCATCCAGATTAAGCTATTATGAAATGGGAGAGTTTCCTTCTGATGAATTTTCATAAAATAAGTTCGGAACTCCTTGGTTTTATGTCCACGCTGTATAGAATGGCGATCGATGAAGCCCAAGTCGTTTTTATTATCAAAATAAAGCAATTTTCAATTATAGGGGCGGCAAACTGTAACGGTACATTTTGAATCTAATCTGAATTTAGTTGATGATGAATATACAGTCTGTCCAAGATAAGGTTGCACAGCATGGGGATCTCGGAAACGGTAGGAGATACGAAGTCGGTTAAATGGGGAAACAGTTGCGCATTCGGAGGCTCATACCAACAGTCGTGATCCATAGGATTGGATAAAAAATTATATTTTTGTCATAACTTTCCAACAATTTCTTTGAATTATTTAATTTTTTTATGAAACATTATACACACCCGTTCCTATAGATTGATGTATGGAAGATTGAAGAAATTTAGGACCGCACTTGTCGTAAAAGAGGTCAGTTACTAATTTCCAAATTCCACTGTTCCTGCTGAATATTTTGTCAATTCACCTATATATAGGGTATCATCGAAATCAATGAGATAAATTGTGATGGAGTACGCCAATGTTGTATAGGTAAACTTTTTATGAAATTCATTAAAAAAATATTTGATATACTTTTTGTTACATTTGAGGTTTACTTTCTGCCTCCATCAGGAATATTCGGCAGTAAGATACTGTTAAATTGTTATTAGTACCGATACTTCAAAATGGTTTGTGGAACGTCTAGAGTTTTTAATGAAAGACATCAGGACAAGAAATTTGAAGAAACGGGATCTGTTTGAAATAAAAAACTATCCAACGAAGAGTTCTCGATGAAGCTGCTCAGATCGAAGTGTTGGGCCACTTTGCTATGGATTCGAAGAACTCTATATACAGGCTGATTCACGGTGGATGGCACATTAGACGTTTCTGGTGAACCAGACAACGGATCATTTTGAAAATTTAATGGAGGGCATATTCGGACATTCTCTAGTCAACTAAAATATTTTCGACAATGCGGTGTTGCCGCTTCTATTAGAAAGCAGTAGCAACTTTGATTTTTCAAATGGAACACTCTGTATTTTATTGCATTATTAGATTCTCCCTGAAGAGCAGATTTCATCGATGTATCATACTTGGGGTCTAGCGGAAATGATTACAGAGATATGGGGTGTGAAACATCGACATTTTTCAACTTTAGGAATTTTTTTTGTCGAAACTATTCATTATTGGCCAAAACGGCTCACATGTCCCTATCTCAACTTTTGATCAACTATCTACTAAAATTTAATTGAAACAAATACAGGGTGGTGCAGAATTCAGAATCTTGATCACCCGGTATATGTCCCAATTAAATATCAGTAGATAGTTAATCAAAAGTTGAGATAGGGACATGTAAGCCGTTTTGACCAATGATGGATAGTTTCGACACAAAAAAATTCTAAAGTTGAAAAATGTCGATTTTTCACACCCTATATCTCTGTAATCATTTCCGTTAGACCCCAAGTGTGATACACCGATGAAATCAGCTCTTCAGGGAAAATCTAGAAATGCAATAAAATACAGAGTGTTCCATTTGAAAAATCAAAGTTTCTACTGCTTTCTAATAGAAGCGGCAACACTGCATTGTCGAAAATATTTTAGTTGGCTAGATAATGTCCGAATATGCCCTCCATTGAATTTTCAAAATGATCCGTTGTCTGGTTCACCAGAAACGTCTAATGTGCCATCCACCGTGAATCAGCCTGTATATATATATATATATATAAAACATATAAACAGTGTCATTCATAAAGTCGGCATCATATGGGAAAAACTTTTATCAATGACTTATTTTGAAATTCGAGTTGGACGTTAAGTTTTTCATCAAAAAAGAGGAAGAATGGCCTACTCAATCGGGGTCACGTGACTTTCGCTACATATCAAAAGTGACATTTTTTCAAATTAATCGCTCAAAGTAAGCTTATTTGTTCGAATATCGAAAAAGTTTACTTGAAAAAGTTGTTTCTATTTAAATTTTACATATGTGACTTAGATGTCATCTTTCTAATACATTTTTAGATTTCGATATTTTTAAAAAAATTTCGAAATTTGTAAAATAAAAAATTGTGAATTTGATAAAACTACTTCATACCAGTAGTTTCATCATGCTACTAACTCTCAATTACTAATTATCACTAATTATCGACAAAAATATGATTTTCTTCAGAAAATGATAATCTCCGCTTCAAAATTCTGTTATGTTTGATGCAAACATAACATCAAAATTCTGTTATGTTTGAGTCAAACATTCAGAAACGAAATTCATTTAAATTTATTTTCTCAGTACTGAAAAAATCTGTTTAAATTAATTCCGTTTCTAAATACTTTTGGGAGCGGGTATTATCATTTTCTGAAGAAAATCATATTTCTGTCCATAATCAGTGATGATAAGTAATTGAAAGTAAGTAGCATGAAAAAGCTTCTGGTATGAAGTAGTTTCGTGGAATTAACAATTCTTCAAATATTACAGAAATTTCGAAAAATTTAAAAAAAATCAAAATCTAAAAATTGCAATAAAAAGATCAAATTCGAGAAGCATGAAATTGAAATAGAAACAACTTTTTCAAGTAAACTTTTTCGATATTCGAACAAATAAGCCTACTTTCAGCGATTAATTTGAAAAAATGTCACTTTTGACATGTAGCGAATGTCACGTGACCCCGATTGAGTAGGCCATTTTTCATCTTTTTTGAAGCGAAACTTAACGTCCAACTCGAATTTCAAAATAAGTCATTATTAAAAGTTTTTTCCATATGATGCCGACTTTATGAATGACACTGTATATATATATATAAAACAATAATAAAAAAAACTAATTAACAAGTTATGTCAATATAACATAATAATTAAAATAAAACCATTCCAAGTATTCAAATGAGAATAAATTGCTCCGTTTATTGTGTCATGAGTATATATTTTTTCATATTGACTTTGAATCTTGTTTCATCATAAATATGTTTCAAATCATAAGGTAATGAATTATATAAAATGACTCCGTTGTAGAATACTGATTGTTTGCCAATGATGGAGTTATATGGGTTTGCTATTAATGAATTCAACTGTCTCGTTGCATGAGTATGAATTGTATTTACTTCAGTAAAGTTCAAGTTGGATATTTTTATTTTTTTTCTCACAAAATGGATGAAAGAACAAATTTTCATTTTATATAAAGATGATAAATTCAACAGATTTTTTGGTTTGTGAATATTAATAGTTGGTTCCAGGTAATGTAAATTGTAAATGCACTTAATTGTTTTATTTGGTAATTTCATTAATGGTTTCAAATGTGATATACTTGTGCTTCCCCAAATTGATATTAAATATTGTAATTTTGAGTAAATCAGACAGAAATATATATTGTTCAAATATCTAAGAGGAATGAAATTTCGAATTTTGTATAAAATGCCAGTAATTGGATTGAGCTTTTTTTCTCAGGTGATCTATATGTTTAGTCCACGATAATTGTTCATCATAATACTTGGGAAGATTCAACAAGATGCCAGTTTTCTTGAGCACATCTGTTTCAGTGATGAATCAACGTTTTATTTGAACGGCTTTGTTAATAAACATAATTGTGGGCCAGGTAGCCGTGCGGACAGAGTGTCAATATTCTAATCCGCATTCGCTTGCCGGTCGTGGGTTCGATTCCCAGCGACTGCAGACATTTTTCTGATGGCCCAAGAAAATGTTTGGGATCACAAGTTGAAAGTTAAGGCCCCCGTCATTCCTTGCTCGCACAAGACTCTCGAAGACTTCTGAGGGTTGCTCGTAAGGGGGCAACCGAATGACGAATAGAACAATTTTAGAAAATCCACACATATATCGACAGGACCATACTCCTGATAAAATAAATGTGTGGGCTGGTATTCTAGCAAATGAGATAATGGACTCTTCATTGAAGACAATTTAAATGGACAATTGAACCTGGATTTATTGGAATACAATTGATCCCCTCATTACACAATCTTCAGAGAGGCAAATCGATGATCATGAAAATATGTTGCTGCACGAAGATAACCTGTTCTTTCAGCAGGATGGAGCTCCACCACATTTTCTTCTAGTGGTGAGAAAATGGTTGAATCAACGATTTCATAGGCAGTGGATTGGCAGAAGAGGTGCCATAGTATGGCCAGCAAGATCTCTAGATTTGACACCTCTTGACTATTTTCTGTGTGGTCACTTGAAAACTCCAGAACAGAAAGTATTGATCAACTCAAAAAAAGGATCATTTCAGAATGCAGACAAATCAATCGAGAAATGTTTCAAGTGAAGAATTCGAAAATAGGCTGTACTATTGCCTAGAGAATAATGGAGCACATTTTGAGCAATTGCTTTGAATACCACTATGAAAAATTGCATCTCTTCTTAGACACAATTCGCAAAATGAATCATTCTAGTTGGTTTAGAAAGGAACTAATAGGGTATACCATTCGCAGCTGGATGAACCACTAACACATTATGTTCTGAATGACAGAAAAGATGTCATTATTCACTGAAACCATATATAGAGTGAACTCTTTGATAGCTGGCAACATTTCACAGGTACAGTCCTGAATTTTTTTCAATTCTTTTTACGTTAGTCTATTGGTGTTGGAGTGCATAATGTTCCATGAAAAAATGAAATAAATCTAAGAAGCTGTTGGAAAGTTGTGACAAAAGAATTTTTCGTTAAAGCCTATAAATCACCCTGTTTATTATTGTAGAAGAGGAGGAAAAACTCCAGATGGCCATTCGATATTGCCCTCAGGGGCCTCTGTTCATGGTAGGAGTATGTACAGTACCTCATGACTCACCCTGTATACGAAATAAATATTTTTTCACCTAGTTGATTTGATCATTGATAGACCTTCAATTTTATGTATCTCAAAGTGTAGGGGGTGCCATTTGAGATTTCGAAGTAGGGGTGTCTGGGGGTGAAAGGGATGAACATAGCATTTTTACTTCCCCCTCGATATCTAAATCGACCTGTTTTTTTCGAAAATTATAATCTTTGCATATCAGAAGATATGCAGGGTGGTAAGTTTTGGAATGAAAGCCCTGTACTATTGCCAAATATCATGATTTATCATTCTTTCTAATCAACTTCATCCAGCAAATGAACGATTTATGAAAATAATTCATAATAACCGACGAAGTAGATTAAAAACCCTATCATGATATAGTTATGATATGTATTAGTGAGTATTCAAAGATCAATTTCTGACATATTACGATGATGACGTATTATGATTTTTCCCGTATTTCAACTCTGTGTGAGGAATGGTGAAGGAGCCAAGTCCCTTTCTCATTTATTTTTTTCTGATGTGAAATTTGATCTCACGAAAAAAAGGTAAAAAACGTATATTTTAAATTCAAGCAAACTTCACAGTGAGAAAAAACCTCAATATATTGGAAACTTCCTCATTGTTCATATCGAAAGTTATTCCCAGTCAACCATGAGATGTATAAGTGATGTATACGCCACATCACTTTGTGACATGCGATATCGCATTTGAAGTCACAAACATGTTACCGATACAACGTGGCGATGTGAAAATGTCCGACTCAAGCAACATCACTGTGACGTCGTTCAGACATGAAATGCGACATCACATGAAAAATCACTACCAGGTCACATACAAGTGTACATTTCATATCACAAATACATCACACTGCGACATCGATGATGTATGTGGTCGCCGTACCTGCGATATTCGTGGGATATTTAATAATAATAATTATTCAATACTGTCTGTAGGTTAATCGAGGAGGTGGTATATTCATTATTCCAAATTTTTTGGGATTTTCTCTCCTCGTTTCTATAAAATAAAAATATGAATATTATTTCAATATACGTGTAGTAAGGACAAATCAGATGATTTGCCCCAAAATGTCACTGCGTTTAAAGAATTTTCCTATCAGAGAGCCTAAAAGAAAAATTCACTAGCTTGTCAGTGACAATTTGTATTGAAAAAATTTTTGGAGAAGGGAAATAAAGGTATATAGAAAAAATATCAAATTTTCACTTATCTTTGGACGTTTCGGGACCGGTTCTGCTCCCGTTTTCAACATAAGAAGAGATTATTTCGATAGCGAAGTCGTATAATGTCTTGAAGCTTTTCAGTTTTCAATGACAATTGGTGACGTTGGCAATCAAATGAGTTACAGGATGTTTTCATTAATTGATCTTGAATTTACCATTTTCATGTTCAGATTTTAGTAGTGAATACCATGTTCTGTCTATATCAACTGAACAAGAAGCAATGTTATTGTCTCCGTTCAGAAGAATGCAAGCAGATTCCTTGATTTTTCTCTTCTGGTTGTTATCTTCTTTTCCAATAATTTTAATATTATTCCACTCTGCCATATTTTCCGAAAGTAAAAATCATGACAATCACTCTAATTAGTGATCTTGAAGTAAAACATGACACATATACAAATATACATTATTCTTAAATGATACATATCAAAAACACACTTACATTATCTTGAGATCTTTCATCCACCTTGTTCTAGATTGCAATTATCCTATCTCAGAGATAATCACAATATTACCTATTGTGATTGAACTCACCGTCGTTCCTAAATGATTGTATACCTCCAATTTGAAGCTGCTATAATATGTGCTATAAATCATCTCAGATATTTCAACAGAGAATTTGGAAGGAAATAGTCTGTACGGAGTCGGACTCACTCACTGACTGACTGACTGACTGACATGGCCATGCACAGCTCAACATGGCGTCTGGCGTGTGCGTTCGTTTTGCATGTCTGCGTCACACTCACAGGTCACAAAGATATCTCATGAGGATTACAATGTGAATTATTTAGTTAACGTCGAAGAGATGTAGTTTGAAGAAGTCGCTGCCACATTACATAGTTTCCTGGTTGCGATGTCACCTTGCGACGTTGATATCGAATCTACGTCGATGAGATGTGTTAACGAGATATTGCATTTATGCAAGGTTGCACACAGATGTTGATGTCACACGATGGTTGGCTGGGTTCTGACGAAACAATTGACCTTTAGAACATTTTGATTGATCAAAACAGCCAATTTTCTAAATGTAATTTCTTGTCTCTCTTTGTCGAAACTCTCACTTAGGCGTCGAAATGGTCCACCGCATCTTCGGCGACATCGTCCGCTACGGCGACCCTTCGGTGCGTAAGGCCTGCCCGCTCGCCCTCGCCCTTTCGTCGGTCTCCCGCCCCCACCCCGCCGCCGTCGATCTGCTCACCAAGCTGGCGCACGACCACGATGAAGAGGTAATACTTATAATACACTCACCGGCAAAATAATCGATCCATTCAAAATATTGATAAAATTTGATCAACGATAACTTCGTTAATTCATGTCCCAGTTAACACAGATTGATCTCAGAGATGTGAGAGGGCATCACATTCATGCCACACATCACATCTGTGACTCGAAATGAGAGGCCTAGTGAAATCACAATGACTGCTATTTCGGACCCTTTTGGTCATTTTATGATTCACATTATGATGCCAAATGAAAATCACAGTACGTATTATGCGACTCCTCGTTCAACATCAAAATTGATTTATTCCGTTCGTTACATAAATAGACAAGGATGTGAGGTTTCAGTGAGTCTCTTGGTTGTTAGGGAGACTCATGAATTCACCAACATTTCAGGTCTCAAATTTAATAAAATGTGAGGAATATTGCGAATGTTTTGTGAAATAAAGAGTCTCCTGGTAATACCAATGATGTTTTGTTGTGACTCGCATTGTTACCTAGCGAGGCATGAATGTGACATCCCAGGGATGTTTGTGTTTACTGGGGTCTGATTCGTTCAATTTTTTTTTTATTCCGTAGGTAAATTCATAAAGAATCACACACAATGTTGAGATTTTAAGAAATGAGGCATACCTTCAAATTATACAGAGTAACAAAAAAGTGCATTTTTACTTCAATTTTAAAACAATCTCTGGAGTGGCTAAGCTGGTACATCCTATAATTTTTCAGTCCATCATCAAGCTACGTTTATTACGAACATTTTCTTTTTCTATTTGTTGGGATAACTTCATTTTTGTGGAAGTTACAAGGGTTTCAGAAGAACGTTACATTTTTTTCTATGGTAATAACAAGGTTCCCCAAGACATTTTTTGCATAGCTGGCTGTGACAGACCTGTCAGTTGACAATTTGTATGCTTGTGTTAATCATCGAATGGTTGAATAAGATATGGATCTTTCTGCAACCGACTCTGCGAGAGCTATTGCTTTGGTGCAGGATGGTAGATCACAATATTCTGTGACAATTCTGACATTGAGCAAAGACATTGTTGTTTTGTTCTAAAATTGTTCTTATCCATCATTCGGTTGCCCCCTTACGAGCAACCCTCAGAAGTCTCCAAGAGACTTGTGCGAGCAAGGAATGACGGAGGTCTTGCCTTTTAACGTGTGATCCCAAATACTTTCTTAGGCCATCAGAAAAATTCCTGCAATCGTGGTGGGAATGGAACCCACTACCGGTAATTCAACGTTGATAGAACATTGACGCTCTTGACAAAACTTGATACAACTACTTAAAGAATGTGGAGGTAGGAGGGGAGATGCATATAGCAAAATAATTGGGAGTTGCCCTGACGGTGAAAGGGTTAAATGTAATGTAATGTAACAATGCGAATACCTCAAAAGTTGTTTCCCTTGATTCATTGTTGTTTGAAATTGTTTCGCCAAATTTTCCTAATGTCATCAGTTTAAGAAATATCGAGTGCTGCTGGTTTTAAAATTGTCACCTTGTACACACACGCTCTCTAGGTGGCCGTGAACGCGGCGTTCGGCTTGGGCCTGATCGGCGCCGGCACGAACAATGCCCGTTTGGCTGCGGGGCTTCGTCAGCTGGCCGTCTACCATGCGAGGAACCCGGCGCAGCTGTTCATGGTGCGGTTCGCGCAAGGCCTGGTGCACATGGGCAAGGGTACGCTGACATTCGAGGCATCGCACACCGATCGGATGCTGGTCGATCCGTTGACCATGGCAGGTTGGTATCGGTCTCAGACTAATTAACAATTCCGCAATTCGCGATTCATTCATATAAATCACCGGAAAGTATACGCCAACAATCATAAACGCTGAACACGTATGAATGAATGGAATTGCGAATGGTGGAGATAATTCTGCGGAATCATTGCCAAATTTGTGAATGTGCATTAATAAATTAACTCTCACGTGTTGTAACACAAATACGTCATTTAGAACCGTTTTGGCTAGACAAGGGTTTGCGGCGTTGTTTATGGGACCGGAACCTGTGTTCGGTATCCCCAAAACCTCAATACGCGGCTGGCTGGCAAGGTGGATGCAAGAAAGACAGCAGGCAAACTGGAACAATGTCTCAGGACAAAGACACAGTAAACTGATGGTTGGAACACTGTCCAGAACAGTGACTAACGACATTCTGAGCCTAAACCGAAGTCAGATCAGACAAGTGACGGGACTAATAACCGGCCACTGCCCCTTGAGGAAACATGCATCATATGGACATCTATACAGCCACCCATGTAATATTGGAGTGCGAAACACTAGTGCGTTGGAGATACAACCTTCTGGGAGCATTGAACTTTCATGAGGCTTTTCCAACGAATGATTTGGTGAAGAGGCTGCTAAACCTTATCAAGGTAGCGAACCTGTTCACCTAAGTCAACAGCATGATCAGGAATACAATAGGCCCAAAGGCTGCAGTGTTTTGGGCTTCGAACCCTGACTGATCAATCTGCTATTAATCAATCAATCAACAATCAACTAAATGTTCTCAGATTCGTCACTGAAAAATCATGCCATCAACCAAGACCGCCACTGGACCTAATAAATGTTCTCAGATTTGACACTAACAAACCATATTTTTTCATAAAATAGAGTCTGCTTTAGATTTCTATCATTATATAAATGAGTTACTGAAACACCGAAAACATCACACAAAAGAATGAAAACCATTGATAACAACAAAAGCGACAAATGAAATTACTTACAACGATTATTGCTGGTCTACTACGAAACTTTTTGTTGTCGCTATAATCATCTTCGAATAATTCATATTTTTCATTTTGTTATGTACAGTTGTGTGCATAAACAAGTCGTGCAGAAGTTATAGTAGGCTATTGTGAGTCAGACTTGTCAATCTTGATTAATCTTCTTCTTTGACAAATAGTCAAAATTCGAAAATTCAAACTATTTTTGTCAGTAACGCGCACATGTGTACGAGTACTCTCTGGAACATCATAGGAGGTTTACACGAGTTAAAGTTTGAATCCGGGAAATCTTATTTTTAAAAAGATTTATTTCGGAACAGAACTTAACAAAAATCAAAATTAGGTACCAAGTGAACAGTAAGAATTCTAAAGTCAGACTAACTATAAAATATGGAATATAATTCAAGTGAATACGCAAAGTCAGCATCTCGGCACCGTTCTCATGAGAACTCTAGGAATCCGTAACGGCGGTGGCTTCAGATATCGCTGAATAAAGGTGGAATCAAATTGTAACTCACGTTACAAACCTTGTACGACTTGTTTATGTACACAACTGTACCCAACAAGAACTTATTATTTTATGGTTATTATGACTACTGACAATCGGTCAAAAAGTGAAGTGTGTGAATCTTTATTATACACGATCTGGGCTGGGACCACACTTTAGAGCTGACTCATTGAATTCCACTTAGTAGTAAAGATGTCTTAATAGTGTCTATCCGTTTCACCAAGCCCAAACTATCCGAATATGATTAACTATTTGCTCGACTATTTGGCATCGTTGTGAACAAGATATTTGATGATCCATGAAACGACGTATGTCGTCTAAGACACTGATGGAATGACGTCTATCATGAAAGTGTTTGCTTTCAAAATGAGCACATTTGGTGTTTTATGCGCCAGCTGGCCGTGTACCACGCGACGAACCCGGCGCAGCTATTCATGGAGCGGTTCGCGCAAGTATTGGTGCACACCGTCGCACACCGATCAGATGCTTATGGATCCGTTGACCATGGCAGGTTGGTATCGGTGATGCAAACTAATTTTATGATGTGGTTAGAGTCTCATCAACAGCATTAAGTCCAGTTTCACCAACAGCAATAATACCGATTTAGCTAAGCAGGTTGATGGTATCGGTGAAACTAATATTTTGCTTTGATTCGAGTTTCACCAACAGTATTAAGCCCAGTTTCACCTAGAGTCACTGGATGGTATAAGTATAGATAAGAGTTCGGACACAGCTGAACTTCTGTCATTTTCTATTTGCTATATTACAATGGTTTGAGTGAATGAAAGAATAAGATATATATTCTGCTCTTTGTCTTTTCAATTCCCCTAATATATAGCGCCTGATTGTCAGATACGATTTTAGAGGTTTGATTTTCTGTCAAATCAATCATACCCGTATATAGAAAATAGAATTAGGGTATGAACACCCACTTCAATTCATATAGCGATACGGCACTTTTCGCAGAACAAAAGTTATGAAAATAATGCATGTATTATAACAACATTTTTATGACAAAATAGACATAAATATGAATATACTTATGTTTAGTTCGGTCGGTATTGAAAACGCCATTCATTGATATATACCACGTTGCAATTTACTTGATTTCTTCACCAATTTCGTTCTCAAATTTTCAATTTCATCACATAGTTATGCAATCAATTCCTCTCTCTCCATAATAGTTTTGTTTTGCATTTCGTGTGATGATAATAATGGATTTTCTTTTCAAATAGTCTGTTTTGTAAATGATCATTGCATGTAGGTAGAACATTACTCACTTGAAAATATAGCACTGATGATGGCTTAGTACCCGAAAGCGCTTCGCGATTTGATAAAGACAACTCACCGCCATCTCCCTCTCCTCAGGTCTCCTCGACCCCTACCCGCTCATTCGGTTCAACTATGGGGATATTGTGTACAGTAATCTTTTAAATAAATTTGATTTGAATCGGAAACAGAAAGTACGGAACTTGTAGTAGACTGGTCTACTCATTAAGAAAATATGATCATGTCTCTATCAAAATCATAGAACTGAACTGGTTGACAATGAAAAATCGTACTAATTATAATCTTTGCAACTTTGTGTATAAAGTTCTAACTTCCAAAACTCCCTCGTCACTATATAATAAACTGTTTCCTAGGTCTACGCTACATTCATTCGAAAAGTAGGTGAATATATACGAGATATTGGAAGTTTCCTGACTTATTTTGCAATTCTATTCTATGTTCTCCTTCTAGCTATGATATATAACTCACCCATTATTCTTGTAATTCGTGAAATATGAACACAATCTGTATTCACGAATCCCTTCTACTTTTCCACATATTGTGAAATGCAGATACAGATTGGTTGCATTTCTATATTCCCGCAGAGCAAACCTGGAATCTAAGTATAGGTATCAAGAGCAATTCATATTTTCTTTCTGAGTCCAAGACTTGTTTCACCATAATAGACAACAAACAAAATGGCTGGAATGGAATTGAATTGACTTCTGACAGTTGACAAGGTTACTTTGCTGTAGAAGAAAAAATATTATCCCCTTGTATCCCCTATAATTTTAAGCTACTTTATAAGATAGTGAAACGGAAACGTTGCACAGATAACATAACAACTCTTTCTAAGATTTATCTGATGAGCCTAAAATCAACATGTCACAATATTACCTAATGATATCGATTTCAATATTGGTGCAACGTCTCATAAACGATTTACTTCATGATATTATGTTGGATACTTCAGAAGGACATTATCGCAATGTTATTTCAACAATATCACAAAACTAAATAAAAAATATTTTTGTTATGTATCATGTTTAGTGGGTTCTGTTAGGAATTATTATTGTTATGTATTACGTTTAAACATCTTCTCTTTCTTCCCATTTATCATATTAGTTTACTTCAATTGTACATATTAGGTTAAGTGTAAGAGTAGCCTTTGGCTAAACTGCGCCTACTATGTACCTTCACCAATAAAGACGATTTATTATTATTATTATTATTATTTCCCCTTCTCCTCAGGCCTCCTGGCGCCCCTCGTCTGCCTCCTCGACCCCTACCCGCTCATCCTCGGCCAGTCGCCCTACCTGCTCTACCTGCTGTCGGCCGCCCTGCAGCCGCGCTGGCTACTAACACTCGACGCCGACTTGAATCCGCTGCCCGTGGGCGTGCGCGTGGGGCAGGCGGTCGACGTGGTGGGCAAGGCGGGCACGCCGAAGACCATCGCGGGCGTGCGCACACACACGACGCCCGTGCTGCTCGCTGGCGGGGAGCGAGCGGAGCTGGTCAGCGATCGGTTCGAGGCGGCTGGGATGACGCTGGACGGGATTTGCGTATTGAGGCAGGTGGAGGAGTGACGATGTGCGTGATGCGGATTGATTGGATACACTGACCGGCAAAATTGTGGTAAACTTTATCTCTTCAACCCACTGACTTGTGACGTTAATTATTGTAATGAGTGGCGATTTTTGACCATTTGCCATTTGAATAAGACACTGTTATTTCAAATGTAGAAACTTCACAAACGATAAGATTTCCACAAAATTCTCAAACACACGACATGTTTCGCTAACACAGTAGCTTTGTCAGGTGATATACTGGTACATTGAACTAAACTGACGTTGGCTTGCTTGACTTTTATATATCCTACTTTTCCAACCTGAAGGATTAGTTACCTGTGGACAGGTACGATAAACCTCCATTTAGTCCATTTTCGGAAATTAGGCAGAATATCTACATTAAAATACGGTATACCGGATTAACTTGAAAGAGTTGATAGCAAATACTTACTAAGAAAACAAATTCAACGGTGGTGAACTATTGAGGTCTAATTGATCATTAAGGAAAATGTCAAAGTTAATCCGGTATACCGTATTCTTATGTAGATATTGTGCCTGTTTTCCGAAAATGGGGGTTTATCGTACCTGTCCACATGTAACTAATCCTGCAGGTTGGGAAAGTAGGATAAATAGAAGTCAAGCAAGCCGACGTTAGTTGAGTTCATCGTACCAGTATATCACCTGACGAAGCTACTGTGTTAGCGAAACATGTCGTGTGTTTGAGAATTTTGTGGAAATCTTATCGTTTGTGAAGTTTTTATATTTGCCATGGATTTCCATCAAGTAACGGCAGAGTCAATTCAAAATTGTTATTTCATTTGTGATTTTGGGATCTTGAAATTATTTAAAGGAATCTTCAAAACTGAACTTGAAAGCATATTGATTTGAAGATTATTGATGAGAAATTGAAAAAGCCAGTCCACTCACGCTTATTATCACTAAATTTACTCTTAATTTGACATCATTTCTTCCTGAATCCTTATCCGATTTTGATGCTGCTTTATTTTTGGAAGATTACGCTTCAGGAATGTAACTATACTACCGATTTGTTCCTATTAAGAATGTAGTTAGTTATAAATACTAGGTGTGAGTATAATTTCGTGTTTTTTTAATACATAACGCTCCATGAAGTGTACTAGTAGCAACAGCTACAACAAACTACGATTGCAAGCTGTCTAAAGGCCCAACTTTCTTGATATATTCCTTTTTGAGGACGATAATTATGCAATCGTATAGCTCACCATTCTTTGGTTGATAGCATGGTTACTATCCTGGAGCTCACCTAAATCAGATACATCATTTGGTAAATTGTTAATTTTGCTGGTCAGTGTATTTGGTGCACAATATTTTTAATTCCTGCATTTTGTATTACTGTGTTTATGTGTTATTATAGAACATTGATATAAATAAAGTTGAAATTGTTGATTTATTAGTTTCTTCAATCCATCATAACCTTCATCAATGTTAAACTCTTCTAAGTGGTGTCTTTTCAATTAAATTAAGCTGTAATTCATGAACGTGTATTTGAAGGTTATATGATCATCATCGAAGGTCAATTTGGACTATGAGTTAGCAGACTTGGCTTTGACAATAATGAGACTAACGTTCAATTCTAACATGCTACAAAAATCAGTGTTTCTGGGTTCTTCTAGATGGCGTATTTCCAATTAAATTATGCAGTAGTTCATAAACGTATATTTGAAGGTTATGTGACCATAATCAAAGGCCAGTTTGGACTATGAGTTAGCAGACTTGGCATTGACAATAATGAGACTAACATTCAATTCTAACATGCTACAAAAATCAGTGTTTCTGGGTTCTTCTAGATGGCGTATTTCCAATTAAATTTAGCAGTAGTTCATAAACGTATATTTGAAGGTTATGTGACCATAATCAAAGGCCAGTTTGGACTATGAGTTAGCAGACTTGGCATTGACAATAATGAGACTAACGTTCAATTCTAACATGCTACAAAAATCAGTGTTTCTGGGTTCTTCTAGATGGCGTATTTCCAATTAAACTTAGCAGTAGTTCATAAACGTATATTTGAAGGTTATGTGACCATAATCAAAGGCCAATTTGGACTATGAGTTAGCAGACTTGGCTTTGACAATAATGAGACTAACGTTCAATTCTAACATGCTACAAAAATCAGTGTTTCTGGGTTCTTCTAGATGGCGTATTTCCAATTAAACTTAGCAGTAGTTCATAAACGTATATTTGAAGGTTATGTGACCATAATCAAAGGCCAATTTGGACTATGAGTTAGCAGACTTGGCTTTGACAATAATGAGACTAACGTTCAATTCTAACATGCTACAAAAATCAGTGTTTCTGGGTTCTTCTAGATGGCGTATTTCCAATTAAATTTAGCAGTAGTTCATAAACGTATATTTGAAGGTTATGTGACCATAATCAAAGGCCAGTTTGGACTATGAGTTAGCAGACTTGGCATTGACAATAATGAGACTAACGTTCAATTCTAACATGCTACAAAAATCAGTGTTTCTGGGTTCTTCTAGATGGCGTATTTCCAATTAAATTATGCAGTAGTTCATAAACGTATATTTGAAGGTTATGTGACCATAATCAAAGGCCAGTTTGGACTATGAGTTAGCAGACTTGGCATTGACAATAATGAGACTAACGTTCAATTCTAACATGCTACAAAAATCAGTGTTTCTGGGTTCTTCTAGATGGCGTATTTCCAATTAAACTTAGCAGTAGTTCATAAACGTATATTTGAAGGTTATGTGACCATAATCAAAGGCCAGTTTGGACTATGAGTTAGCAGACTTGGCTTTGACAATAATAAGACTAACGTTCAATTCTAACATGCGACAAAAATCAGTTTTTCTGGGTTCTTCTAGATGGCGTATTTCCAATTAAACTTAGCAGTAGTTCATAAACGTATATTTGAAGGTTATGTGACCATAATCAAAGGCCAATTTGGACTATGAGTTAGCAGACTTGGCTTTGACAATAATGAGACTAACGTTCAATTCTAACATGCTACAAAAATCAGTGTTTCTGGGTTCTTCTAGATGGCGTATTTCCAATTAAATTATGCAGTAGTTCATAAACGTATATTTGAAGGTTATGTGACCATAATCAAAGGCCAGTTTGGACTATGAGTTAGCAGACTTGGCATTGACAATAATGAGACTAACGTTCAATTCTAACATGCTACAAAAATCAGTGTTTCTGGGTTCTTCTAGATGGCGTATTTCCAATTAAACTTAGCAGTAGTTCATAAACGTATATTTGAAGGTTATGTGACCATAATCAAAGGCCAGTTTGGACTATGAGTTAGCAGACTTGGCTTTGACAATAATAAGACTAACGTTCAATTCTAACATGCTACAAAAATCAGTGTTTCTGGGTTCTTCTAGATGGCGTATTTCCAATTAAACTTAGCAGTAGTTCATAAACGTATATTTGAAGGTTATGTGACCATAATCAAAGGCCAATTTGGACTATGAGTTAGCAGACTTGGCTTTGACAATAATGAGACTAACGTTCAATTCTAACATGCTACAAAAATCAGTGTTTCTGGGTTCTTCTAGATGGCGTATTTCCAATTAAATTTAGCAGTAGTTCATAAACGTATATTTGAAGGTTATGTGACCATAATCAAAGGCCAGTTTGGACTATGAGTTAGCAGACTTGGCATTGACAATAATGAGACTAACGTTCAATTCTAACATGCTACAAAAATCAGTGTTTCTGGGTTCTTCTAGATGGCGTATTTCCAATTAAACTTAGCAGTAGTTCATAAACGTATATTTGAAGGTTATGTGACCATAATCAAAGGCCAGTTTGGACTATGAGTTAGCAGACTTGGCTTTGACAATAATAAGACTAACGTTCAATTCTAACATGCGACAAAAATCAGTTTTTCTGGGCTCTTCTAGATGGCGTATTTCCAATTAAATATAGCAGTAGTTCATACACGTGTATTTGAAGGTTATGTGACCATAATCAAAGGTCAATTTGGACTATGAGTTAGCAGACTTGGCTTTGACAATAATAATACTAACGTTCAATTCTAACATGCGACAAAAATCAGTTTTTCTGGGTTCTTCTAGATGGCGTATTTTCAATTAAATTTAGCAGTAGTGTATATTTGAAGGTTATGTGACCATAATCAAAGGCCAGTTTGGACTATGAGTTAGCGGACTTGGCTTTGACAATAATAAGACTGACGTTCAATTCTAACATGCGACAAAAATCAGTTTTTCTGGCCTCTTCTAGATGGCGTATTTTCAATTAAATTTAGCAGTAGTTCATAAACGTATATTTGAAGGTTATGTGACCATAGTCAAAGGCCAGTTTGGACTATGAGTTAGCGGACTTGGCTCTGACAATAATAAGACTAACGTTCAATTCTAACATGCGACAAAAATCAGTTTTTCTGGGCTCTTCTAGATGGCGTATTTCCAATTAAATATAGCAGTAGTTCATACACGTGTATTTGAAGGTTATGTGACCATAATCAAAGGTCAATTTGGACTATTAGTTAGCAGACTTGGCTTTGACAATAATAAGACTAACGTTCAATTCTAACATGCGACATCAGTTTTTCTGGCCTCTTCTAGATGGCGTATTTTCAATTAAATTTAGCAGTATATTTGAAGGTTATGTGACCATAATCAAAGGCCAGTTTGGACTATGAGTTAGCGGACTTGACTTTGACAATAATAAGACTAACGTTCAATTCTAACATGCGACATCAGTTTTTCTGGCCTCTTCTAGATGGCGTATTTTCAATTGAATTTAGCAGTAGTTCATACACGTATATTTGAAGGTTATGTGACCATAATCAAAGGCCAGTTTGGACTATGAGTTAGCGGACTTGGCTCTCACAATAATAAGACTAACGTTCAATTCTAACATGCGACAAAAATCAGTTTTTCTGGGCTCTTCTAGGTGGCGTATTTCCAATTAAATTTAGCAGTAGTTCATAAACGTATATTTGAAGGTTATGTGACCATAATCAAAGGTCAGTTTGGACTATGAGTTAGCAGACTTGGCTTTGACAATAATAAGACTAACGTTCAATTCTAACATGCGACAAAAATCAGTTTTTCTGGGCTCTTCTAGATGGCGTATTTCCAATTAAATTTAGCAGTAGTTCATAAACGTATATTTGAAGGTTATGTGACCATAATCAAAGGCCAGTTTGGACTATGAGTTAGCAGACTTGGCTTTGACAATAATAAGACTAACGTTCAATTCTAACATGCTACAAAAATCAGTGTTTCTGGGTTCTTCTAGATGGCGTATTTCCAATTAAATTTAGCAGTATATTTGAAGGTTATGTGACCATAATCAAAGGCCAGTTTGGACTATGAGTTAGCGGACTTGGCTTTGACAATAATAAGACTAACGTTCAATTCTAACATGCGACATCAGTTTTTCTGGCCTCTTCTAGATGGCGTATTTTCAATTGAATTTAGCAGTAGTTCATACACGTATATTTGAAGGTTATGTAACCATAATCAAAGGCCAGTTTGGACTATGAGTTAGCGGACTTGGCTCTCACAATAATAAGACTAACGTTCAATTCTAACATGCGACAAAAATCAGTTTTTCAGGGCTCTTCTAGGTGGCGTATTTCCAATTAAATTTAGCAGTAGTTCATAAACGTATATTTGAAGGTTATGTGACAATAATCAAAGGTCAGTTTGGACTATGAGTTAGCAGACTTGGATTTGACAATAATAAGACTAACGTTCAATTCTAACATGCGACAAAAATCAGTTTCTCTGGGCTCTTCTAGATGGCGTATTTCCAATTAAAATTAGCAGTAGTTCATAAACGTATTTTTGAAGGTTATGTGACCATAATCAAAGGTCAGTTTGGACTATGAGTTAGCAGACTTGGCTTTGACAATAATAAGACTAACGTTCAATTCTAACATGCGACAAAAATCAGTTTTTCTGGGTTCTTCTAGATGGCGTATTTCCAATTAAATTTAGCAGTAGGTCATAAACGTATATTTGAAGGTTATGTGAACATAATCAAAGGTCAGTTTGGACTATGAGTTAGCAGACTTGGCTTTGACAATAATAAGACTAACGTTCAATTCTAACATGCGACAAAAATCAGTTTTTCTGGGTTCTTCTAGATGGCGTATTTCCAATTAAATATCAAGGTTGGTAGAACTGATGATTATTTTGTAGAGGAAGGTTGCCTCGATCGCACCATGATCGCACCCCGCGAGTAACTCATGACGTAATAGGCCCTTTCTTTTGAACGAAAAGTGTAGCACTTTCGTACACTTCGTGTATAATATGTACGCCGGCGCATGTATTGAAGTGACAGTTGTAGTTGTCAGTATTTTCGAATATTTGATTTGAATTATTTTGAAATTAAAAATGTAAAAATGATGATTTGTTCAGTCACTTCTTGTTAAAATTCGTACAAGTGTAATAAGACTAGTGAATTTAGTTTGTGTTTCCTTTAATTTCCACAAGATTAGTCTATTCGTGAGAAATGGATTCAATTTTGGACGTGATTTCAATTCATTTAATACCAAAACTTGGCGAATATGTTCTGCCCATTTCGATGCCGAGGATATTGAACGGCACAAGCAGAATTGCTAAATCACACACCAAAGAGAAGAAAACTCAAGGTAGGAATCCCATCAATAATACCAAATGCAACAAGAGAAACACCATAAGTACCTATGGAAGTTTGGAAAAATGATCAGAACCAGACCAGTTGTGAATGTTGAGATTCTTGCTGAACGGGTAAAATGGACATCAGAAGATATCACACCTGTTTTCAAGTCGAGATATTTGAGCAAGAGGACGTTACCCAACGAAGAGGAGCTATGTTTATTTGAGAGATTCCTTGAACTATCCTTTACTATAGGTTCACTTATAATAGTAGTGTTATTTTTTATTAATTTTGTTATCTTGAACAGAATCACATTTTGTTATTTTTTTCTGCTCAAACACTTCAATTGCTCTGTTTTGACTCTACAATATAATCAAACAATGAAATACTATTTTCTCTTGTATTTTCTATAGGTAGGTATCTAGGGAAGTTTTCTAATTTTTCAGAATACAGAGTTATATTGATAAAATAAGGGATCTGATGTGTACGAATATTGGTCCACTGCTACTACTTCTGGATCATCAGTTGATTATTCTTTTATTTTCGGTAGTTTCTTGTTCACTTTATCTGATTTGCAGGATATTTATAGGATGCGTAGGTTCATAATCAATGCATATTAAGTAATCACTAGCTCCATAATTATGCTCCATACCTCAAAACACACATACCTGGTACCAGGACCTGGTAAATAGCCCCTGGAACAAAATTTCAGATAGGTATTCCTCTCTGTACTACTGATTCATCCATGATGAAAATGATCCATCCAAAATTGCCTTCTCATTTCGAAGATTGAAGGTATTATACAGAAGTATATGTAAATATCCATATTTTATAATGGTACCTACTTATAATTATATACCCTTAATATAAATATGCTGAGCAGACCAAAAAGTTTGTATACTCTATCTGGTATTCTGGTAAACAACATTTCATGACATTTTGCTTTAAGGTTGACAACTTGTCATCTTATCTTACTGCCTGTGACGTCACGAGTGACCGTTTCCCCCCTTGCCGCACTATCGATCGAGGCAACCTTCCTATAGGTCGCGTGCAAGAACTGTCAGATGACTGACCCTGGAGGCAAAACATATTTGTTTACAAGTGATCGAAATAGTTTTCCACAATTATTTTGGCATATGAATTGTATTTTTCCGCTATTCATCAATTCGCTAATGCCATCACATTGTGCTGTTATAAATGCACAAAAACTGCAGCGGAAGATGAAGAAATCCGGATGGTACATTATGATTCAAAAGTAAGTACCTACTATAGTCACTCACATAGTTTTCATTTTTGAAATTTGGTTATTTCTCTGATTTCTCATCGGAATTCCTTCTGCAATAGGATCAGCTAATAGAAATATACCTGAAATTTCTAGAATAATGCAAGAAGATTGGATTCATGCAATCAATCGGTAGGACTGGTCTGACATGCTGACGATCGTGTGTGTTGTAGACATTTTCAATCTATTAGCAGCATTAGCTTGTATTGCAGAAGTGGCAGAAGGCAGAAGGAATTTTAATGAGGAATGACAACATTTCATAATGCTAACTATATGAGATTACTATTTACCTGAAAAATCATATTCCCTAGTCTCTTGCTGCATTTTTTGTGCATTGTACAACAGCACAATGCGAAGGCATGCTTGAATTAATGAATAACGCAAGAAACACGATTCGTATGCCAAAATATTGTGAAAAACTATTTCAACCTTTTGATTCCTCTGTAACCAAATAAAAAAGTGAGGTTGTGTTTCAATAATTCACAGAAGAATGAGGTTGTGTTTCAATTATTTTGCCTCCAGGGTCGGTCTTCGTGCACGCGACCTATACAAATTATATTCAGTTCTACCAACCTTGTTAAATATAGCAGTAGTTCATACACGTGTATTTGAAGGTTATGTGACCATAATCAAAGGTCAGTTTGGACTATGAGTTAGCAGACTTGGCGATGACAATAATAAAACTGTCCTTGCATTCTGATATAAGACAAAAATCAGTTTTTCGTTTCCGCTGATGTATATTGTCTGACCAAAGCCTCGTGGTGATATATAATTATTGAATATTTAACACTGTAGATCAATATTTTATCGATATGTATAGATACCACATTAAGTATAATTGTCATGGCCAGAAATTCGAGAATCAATGGAATGAAAAATTCCGTGAATATTTGGAAAATAACATTGTCACCACTTATGGAAACTTCTAGAGCCGCTAGTGCGGACCAGACAATAATTCTAATCTAATTTTTCAATGAGTTGTGGTGAGCCTTAACAAACATTCGTGTTAATGAATAACTATTTGTAAAAAAGTATTCTAGTGCCTGCATTTTGTATCATGTGTATCTATCGCGAATTCATGCAAATACATGCTGGCTTATTTCCTCATTTCACAATATGCTTTCCCTCATTTGAACTTCTGGTTCTGATATCTCAAGGTAATTATATTTTGTAATAGTTCATGCGCGTGATCCGATAAATGAATGAATAACTAAATTGACCTCATGTCCAAAACAGCAGCGACGATTATAAAATATTAACCAAGGAACATGGTATAGTGTGATTTTTTCGGCTTTGGAAACCATGAAAATGAAGTGAATTCGTCTGAAGTTACTGAACTATCTAATATTTTATTAACAGGGTACAGAAATAATAAAATCATAAAAGAATAATTTATTGTTTCATCAACTCTTGGTGACATATTTTCATACAACGTCATTCGCTCAATAAATAAAATTAAAATCTCGTCAAAACATATGATTGTCTTTGGTAATAGAAATCCGTTACTGTCCTGGGCTCAACCATATTATGCTTCCCCAACATCTCTCTGAGTGAAAGTCGAATTGCACATGCCTTGAAAATCGCAGCTATCCAGACTTTCCCCGTAGAACTCTTTGATTTTGTCCACTTCACATAAATCGGAATCCGGACAAGGTGGCAATCTGACGATTTTCTCTTGATGCAGCACCAATAGTTTGTCAACTGAATCACAACTAAAAATAGTTTTTTTATTATTCTTTGGTTGTATGACGAAATTTATATTGATCATTATTGACCATACAGACCGTGGAAAGAAATTCTGAATTGAGATAAAACCCAATCACGAATCTGCGAATAGAGGTACATAAAAATAACAAGTTTCCAACTGGAGTTTTTGTACATGGATTAGGTTCAGGTAATCGACAAAATGTATGCTTGCTTCATACCTAGTAGAGAGATGCGAAGAGGAAGAAGAAAGTTCAGAGTGTGAGCCCAGCAATACTTGACTGTTATGAAAGTTCTTGCAAAGCACTCAGCAGTACCTTGAGTAATTGTGATACACGTTTTCGGCATAGCTTTGAATCTTCTCCATAATGCTTGGCTTCTCATTGTACTGTTTTTTATAATAGAACCTACACAGTTCTATATCGCGATTATCAGTATATATTAAGCCGACACTGACTTTCATGTTTTCTTAGGCTTCTGTCCAACAAAGCATGGCTACAGACGTCCTAGACGTTAATTGGTCTGGGAAGAACCAATTGCCTCAACTGCTGATAATATGAGTTGATGACTAATAATTTTTCCTTATCTGGAACAGTGCTGAATGTGGCTGGCACCAAAATTGATACTTGTTCTTGGCTCAGCACCACCTATTCCAACTCCTTCTTTTGTGACTGTTTGAGTACCAGATTGGTTCCTCATCCACAGGTTGGCGTTTCTGCCAGTACGTCTGATATAAGTGTAACAGGAATGTGTTTTCAAAATTCCCAACTGGAATGTATCCGTGTTTTTTCTTATTCTTTGTGAGGGTCAACTAGAACTCCTTAAGTGGAATTTTAATTGTTCCCGTAGCCCCTCTGCCTTCCAATGTCATTCAAACCTCTAATAAACCCGGCTGCTTGGATTGCTTGAATTCCGTTTTTATATACAGGGTGTTATTTAAGTACGTGGCCAAACTTGAAGGGGTGATTCTTTGAGTGATTCTTAGACGAAAAGTTCATACAAACATAGGTCCGGTAATGCTTCGTTTTCAAGATACAGGGTGTCAAAATTTTTAAAAGAAATCGTTTTCATCGTAAATATCTTAATAACCCTTCGACCGATTTCATTGAAATTTGGCAGTGTTATTCAAGGTCGTAAAGGGCTAATTTAACCCTAACTATATCAAAATTATCATGTCCAGTGGCGTCCCGGAAGGCACTGTAACCAATATTTTTGACACAAAAAATGTGCGCCACTGATTTTTTTGCAATTTCTGTATTTGTTCCACATTGAGCAACTAAAATTACAACTTTTTTATATCTAGAATTGTTTTCGTATCTTGCTTTGTTTTTGAGAAAAAACATAAAAATCACTTCATTGCACATCCCTGTCACAACACAATAAAACATTTCAACTACTAAACCATCAAAAACTGGGGTCTTACTAATATTTTTGATATAGTTAGGGTTAAATTAGCCCTTTACGACCTTGAATAACACTGCCAAATTTCAATAAAATCGGTTGAAGGGTTATTAAGATATTTACGAAAAAAACGATTTCTTTCAAAAATTTTGACACCCTGTATCTTGAAAACGAAGCAATACCGGACCTATGTTTATATGAACTTTTCGTCTTAGAATCACCCAAAGAATCACCCCTTCAAGTTTGGCCACGTACTTAAATAACACCCTGTATACAAGGTGAGGCATCTCATACGACAAGAGGTCTCATTTGATCTGTATGGAACTTACTTTAATGATCATGAACATCATTTCATATAGAGATGAACCTTAATTTACACTTAATATAGTGTTTCCCATATAATGAAAATTTCAAATGAGGTGCACCACCATCTATACTATACATGAAATATTTGCATTTGCTATTGTAGATATTTTTCGAAAATATAATATGTGCATCTGTTGTTGCTAAATGAGCATCTATTGAGGATTGAGGTATATTGCAAGGTATATTAGATATACAGGTGAATCCAGTCATTTTGAATCAACAAATAAAGCAATTCAAACTCTTTTTTGGAATCATTCACTTGCCTCACAACATTCACAATGAATGAATCAACAAACATGTCAATAAAAAAAATGCTCCAGGAAGTAGGTTTGTTCGTGTTTCAAATTATTGAAACAGTCCTTGCACTTCGCAGAATCAGGTGCGCATCAAATTCAATCCGAAACAAGTCCGGGATAGTTTTGAAACCAGGTAAACAAAAAAGGCGTTTTCCCATTTTCTCATCTTCTTTCTCGAAAGTATGCTGTGTTTAGACTCACCTCAATCGAGGGCATATTTAGGTTAGGGTTATGCTGATGTTATCATAAAATAACCCCAAAATTCAAGACCTGAACACAAACCGTTCCCACTAAAATATTTATACCCTTACACGTCGAAAATGATCCCTGAATTCTTAATCTGATTAGTGATTACAGATTCATTCAACACCACCATTCTCCAGTTGTTATCATCTGAACTTGAATATAGGACGATGAGTTAAAGCTCATATGCCCATTGTTATTGTTCATAATCTTGATTGATATTTTTCAATAATTCCATTATTCATCTAGTTTAAAAGTGCATCTCTCAACATAAGAACGATTAGAGGTTAAAAATCTGTTCCATAAACGCATGCACATCCAAAATTATCCACGACAGTCTTCGGCAGTTCTTGCTCAGAGGCTCGTAATGCTTTGGACACATTCGAAACTATCCCACACTAGTTCGTGTGAAACAAAACACGTGATCTGTGGAATACGAAACAGTCCTGAGAAAAGGCGAACACTACCTTGTCACTGCGCATGCTTCTGATGGTTTCGGACTGTTAATTTTACGTGTACCTACCTACATTGTGCATGTACCCTTAGTAAAATATCCCTATCCTTATCAAGTATTCAACTCTACGTCATATGACGTCTCTGACAGAGCTCTATTACACCAACTGCTTTCAGGAGGCAAAAATATTTGTCTAAATCGCTAGATGTAGAGGACAACCGGATTATTTTTTGAATGAATCACTCACGACATGTGGGAGACATTGGTTTACATGAGATCTTGGATCTTGCATAACTAAATTTTGGAAACAAAAAACTTTATACTTATGAAATTATAACATTGTCCTGCAACGGAGATATAAATAATATAATGAAATCCTCAATAACATGCATGAAATTAATATTCAAACCATGCACTCTTACCTGTAAAGAACAAAAGCCAGATTAGTTCCAAAACTATCAATCAAACTTGTCCTCCACTTTCTCGTCAACATGTGATCGAAATTCTTTGCAGTTAAATGCTCGTCATCCTCATATAGTCCTAGATGGGCCAACATTTTCAATAATGTGCCAGAGTGTGTGAAGTATACGTTAACTCTTGGAAAGCGTGATTTTCTATTAAAGAAAAGTGTAAGTCTTTTGTTAGACTGTCTAGTCAAAGTTATACATACGACTCTAAGAAATTCATCATATCTCCAAAGGCAGGACAGGCTTGTTTATACGTCAATTCAAAACCGTATCCATCGCGCCAGTAATGTTTGAGATCTGCAGCATATTCCAGGACCTACAAAGTTGTAAAGATTTAAGAGAAACGATATTATAAAAAAGTAATGAATATAATGAAAATTTGCTGAACATGACTTCTGTGCAGTCACACTAATAAAAATCCCTTATGAAGGAAGGAACGGAGGAATGGTTACTCAACCAACTAGTCTATTAATGAGGGCGATTAATGATCGAGATATTTCAACATGTGAGTATAGCGAGATCAATTATCTGCTAATTAACATACAAGTTGGTTTGAAAAAATTAATCGACTATATTTTTCCTCCAATGAAAAAAAAATGGTTCGCTAATTTATTATTCATCTGAAAACTACTTACAACCATCTACCAGCCATGAAAGTCAACTTGTCAATGACATTCTATTCAGGAGTGTGTAATACAGAGTGGGACTGCAGTAAATATTTCTCAAGATTTTTTGTTGGCATATTTTTCGACAATTTCATCTCGGATTATGAAATTTCACAACTTTTTATAGAAAAAAAGGTACTCTTGTTCCGTGACAATCATATTGTTATCGAGTAAAAGCAATTTGAAAATATTGCTACATTTCAGATATCATGCATACCATTGCAATGAGGCGTAGTGGAAGTGGAAAAAATTGCACAAAATATAAAGTAGTTTTTTCATCATATTTTTTTTTATTTTTCGCGCTGTCATGAGATTGTTTGGTAAAAAGAAAGTACTGGATTTCTTAATAGCCACTATTATTTAAAAATTGGCAACGTTATGCATCAATATTTTTCATTCGAGAATAATACATCTGATCGATGCGGAACAAGAGCACTTTTTTTGAGAAATGGTGTGGATTTTCATAATCAGAGATTGAATGGTCAAAAACTATGCACACGAAAAAGTTTGAGCAATATTTAATGTAGTCCCACCCTGTATTATACATTCCTGAATGAAACTCTGAAATGATTCACCGCATTTGGCATGGAAAGTTTATTTCTTGTGCCAAATTGCATCATTTCATCACGTGGTGTTTCGGAAATATTCAAGAAATATCATCTTCAGGAGCCCCCCCTTTCAGGGGGACGTAGCTCCCTTTGGAGACATTTCTCGACTCATGTTCATTGGAACTTTTCTTTCTATTTTTGGTCGAAGAAGCCGCTGGTGAAGTTTGGCAGGTTAATTTCGGGACACCCTGTATATTCTGTAAATTCCCAATTTTGACGGAAGAATCAATCTCCGACCCCAAAAACCTCCAGATACAAATTTTGGATTGAGTCGGATCACAATTAACAAATTCGTTCGCCATTTTGGAGCCACCATTTTGTTTTTTGTCGGACGAAAATTTTATGGAGGGGGCCACTTTAAATGCATATTTTAGCCCTCTTGGTTCAACCCCCTACGAGGGAAAGATGTTACCCTTAGATCCTTATATGAAATGGGGATCAAGATGCACATTATTTTAAAGGGCGTTCCAACAGTACCCTAGTTTATCATTTTTTGATGAGCAGTTCCAAAAAATGCCGTTCTAAACATACAGAAATAATTAGAACATGCCTGCACTGGGATGCACTCAAAATCTTCCTACCATTTGGACTAAAAGGAGAGTCGATACAATAATACTAACCTGTTAGGGGGCCAGGTAGCCGTGCGGACAGAGTGTCTATATTCTAATCCGCATTCGCTTGCCGGTCGTGGGTTCGATTCCCATCGACTGCAGACATTTTTCTGATGGCCCAAGAAAGTGTTTGGGATCACACGTTAAAAGGTAAGGCCCCCGTCATTCCTTGCTCGCACAAGACTCTCGAAGACTTCTGAGGGTTGCTTGTAAGGGGGCAACCGAATGACGGATAGAACAATTTTAGAACAACAATTTTTAGAACAAAACCATGCATCTCAGTGTAGGCATGTTTTAATTACTTCTGTAAGTTTAGAACGGCATTTTTCGGAAACTGCTCACCACAAAATAAAAAACTGGTATTGTTGAAAAGAGACTTGAACGCCCTTCAAAATAATGTGCATTTTGACCCCCTTTTCATATGATGTTCTAAGGGTAACATCTACCCCTTCTAGCGGGTTGAACTAAGATGGCTAAAAATATGCATTTTAAGTGTCTTCCTTGGGAATGAAATTGACGTGTCTTTTCGATTTTTCATATCATTTACTAAAAGGAAAATATTAAGGGTGCCTCCTAGAGGGTTGAACTAAAAGGGCAAAAAATATGCATTTCAAGTGTCTTCCTTGGAAATGAAATTGACGTGTCTTTTCGATTTTTAATATCATTTACTGAAGGGAAGATATTAAGAGTGGGAAGTGACACGGCATTTTTCGAAAACTTATTATTTTACATATGGCATAGATCTCATATGGCAAAAATCACCTCTCGGCATCTTCATCGCTGTTGTGCTGAAATAATCAATATTTTTCTGATATCAACCCGTTCATCAGCAAAATAATGTACTGTTCATGTTCATTTCTTTTTTTCTTACTCACAAATTATCTTGGAACAGACAGTGTGTAAATTAGATTTTGGGCAAGACCCCTTTTTTGCCCACAATGAGTAAATTTTCATCATTCAAATTTTCATTCCCCTGTATGGTTCATGAGAATTCATTGATAGTTATTTATTATACAAGGGAAAAAAGTAGTAGATTTTAGCTCCAGGTTGTGTAGTCTCCCGACGCGTAGCGGAGGGAGACAAAAACCGTGAGCAGAAATCTAATATTTTTCCCGTGTATAATACACTATTTTTTTCTGTGACAGACGAAAGGACGAATCAATATTGAGAAGATATTACATTATTTTGAAATCTGAAAATTATCGACGTGAAATTTTAAGTTTTTAACAGTAAGAACACCTGCGTTGTAGGCTTCTTTATAATTTTTTTGAAGTAATCACATATCTGATGTCACTTCTGTCAGTCTAATTCTGTGATCTGATTTCAAAAAATTGCGAGTTTAGTGGTTGTTTAGCAATATACGTAACCGCGAAGTCGAATGGAAGATAAAAGGACTTGTAGTTCTTTCTCGGAGACGGTATTATTGACTAATTTTTCGGAACTATAGCACAACAAAAGCCATCAACAGTATATATATATGTGATATATATCCGGGAAAACAGTACTAATTTTTTTCCCACGGGAAAAAAAGTTATTTATGAAAAGTGGCATTTCATAACCTGCCAACAGAGATGAAATGTCAAACTTCTTTCCCGTCACAGAAAATGTTTTCAATGCGAACAGCTTCAAGTTTAGAAAATATTCGTGAAGATATAGTTTCGGCTCCTCCACCATTTTCATGATGTTTTACGCCAGTACAGTGTCACAAGATTTATAGATAAATCAAATGATTCGGGAAGTTTCGATCCAGTTAGTAATGGTATCTGAAATGTCGTATTCAACCAATAGTATGGGTGGAAATTCGATCATTGCTTTAATTTAAATTCCGAATACCTGATGAAATGGGAATTATGGACAAAACATAAATATGCATTAGAATTACATAATAATTGAAAATTATATAATGCTGACAGCTCGTTTTTAAAGTTGATCATTCTAATTTGAATTTCTGTTGGAAAGATTTGGTTAGGTAATGCAAACATTTCAGTCAAAAAGCATTTCATCACACACCAGCTTGAAAACTCAACAGAAATACTAGAATCGCCAATAGTGGAGTGAACTGCTCTAGATTTAAAACATTCTAATTTTCATATAAATATGTTTATCTGTTACAATGTTATATGTTATATCACATGGTGATTGTTTTTCACCGTAATTGAATTACTAATAATTTTTTAATCAACTTGGTTTCTCAGCAGTTACAACAAGAGTTTTAAGGGAATTCAAAATATACGTGAAGATCCTGTACATACAACTATTTTTGAACTAAAATGGTCAATTTCTGGATATGTGGTAAGAGTGTCTTTTTTAGATAATCAGTCAATAATAAGAATAACACTACACCAATAGTAAAAGCCATATGATTATTTAAAAATAGTAAGTTCACCAGAAACTCACCTTCAAATTGTCTACAGTGAAAACAGAACACCAAGGTGATTTGGCTAATTTGTTCCAGGCTGTTTCATATGCACACATGTCATACATCATAATTATGTCCTCTGAAAAGAACATGTTATTTTTAAGACGACTAAAATGAAGATTCAACAAATAATAGGGAATAGTAGGAATTACTTAATGGACTAATTTTATTTTTCAAAAAACATATATTTTCTCTTATATCAATGCCGGTGCCTGTCAATTTTTATTATATGAATGAAGTAAACAACTTTATATATCAATAGTTATTTATTATATAAGGGAAAAAAGTAGTAGATTTTAGCTCCAGTTTGTGTTGTCTCCCGACGCGTAGCGGAGGGAGACAACAAACCGTGAGCTAAAATCTAATATTTTTCCCGTGTATAATACACTATTTTTTTCTGTGACAGAAGAAAGGACGAATCAATATGGTGTGTATTGTACAGGTATAAATAATTTAAGAAAAAAACATATGTTCTTATATGATTCTCATTTGTTTTCATTCTATAGTTATTTATTATACGAAGGAAAAAGGTAGGGAGACAACACAACCTGAAGCTAAAATCTAATATTTTTCCCGTGTATAATACACTGAGAAAGGACCAATCAATATTGAGAAGATATTACATTATTTTGAAATCTGAAAATAATCGACGTGAAGTTTTTAACAGTAGGGACACCTGCGTTGTAGGCATCTTTATCATTCTTTTGAAGTAGGTAATCAAATATCTGATGTCACTTCTGTCAGTCTAATTTTGTGATTTGATATAAAAAAAATTGCGAATTTTGTGGTTGTTTAGTAATATACGTAACCGCGAAGTCTAATGGAAGATAAAAGGACTTGCAGTTCTTTCTCGGAGACGGTATTATTGACTCATTTTTCGGAACTATAGCACAACAAAAGCCATCAACGGTGTATATATATGTGATATATATCCGGGAAAAAAGTACTCACTTTTTTCCCACGGGAAAAAAGTAATATATGAAAAGTGACATTTTATAACTTGCCAACAGAGATGAAATGCCAAACTTTTTTCCGGTCACAGGAAAAAATATTTTTTTTCAAATAGGTTGGTTGGGTAATGTCACTAAATAAAAATATGAAGTAAAATAAAAAATCACCTGTTTCCAGAAGAGTTTTCTTCATTTTCAATCTCTCGTTGATTTCTTGAACAGTTTTAGACATTTCCGCTCCGTTCATAAAAATTATTCTCTCTTGCTGAGCGGCCGAATTTTGTTTAACATCATTTTCCCATCGAGTACAGAGTTTATAAAACTGAAGATTCAATAAAAAACTGAAGTATATGTAGTAAAAATGCTATTTGCTAATAGTGCTTTTCGACATAAATTGATCATGAAAAAAAAAATATTTCGAAAACTGGAACCTAATACTACATTCTTTATTAACAAACTTATTTTTCAAGGCCTTGACACCCATTTGCTAACTATATTTGTATCTTCAGGAGGCAATTAGAATCGTTTTAGAATTGTGATGAAAGTCAAACAGTGTAGTGTCAAAACAGGCTGAGAGGCTGGCTACATCAATTTCATCAAAAGATTTATGAATAATTACTGACACAATAATAGTCAATTACCTTAAAAGGAAATAGTAGTTTTCTATTCAACTTATGAATGAATATGCTGCTAATCAGTTTTGTTTTTACAATTTTGTTCACTTGAATTTATTTAATTTTGTTTGTAAGTTTTATTAAGTTCATTTATTCCAATCATTTGCAGTGGAGAATATGAGGTAAAATATTGGTATCAAACTTTTACAGCTTACCCTTAAAATTGGATCTTTTCTTGAGGGTTCTGGGAACCAGATATCTCTTGCTGCTGCTCTACCGAACAGACCACTAGTGAAATAAAGTGCACTTTTATGAGTTCGCTGAGAATACGTGTACTTGAACTAAAAAAAAATATTATCTTTATTTTCATGAAAAACAAAAAAGTGCTATCTGTGGAACTAGAAATCCAACCAGCTGTTTATTCAGTCATAATATACTGATTAATTCATTTTTTTTTTAAGATGAAGTTGTTGATAGACCTTCGAGAAGTGGTCATTTAATAGTACAAATCAATATGTGTAAAAATCACAATGACATTTCTGTCATCATGTTGTATGTATGATGTATGGATTTGGAAGTTGGAGCTAATTCTCAAACCCAACTAAAATATATCCAATCTTAACCAGACCTAGAGTCTTTGAAATTGACTAAATGAATAAGAGTGTCGACAGCGTTATTTTTTAGTTTTTGCATTCCCCGCATACAATTTCACGAAGAAAATTTCTAACTTGAATATTTTTATCTTCTGCAATCGTAGGATCACAAGAATATTTTGGATTTTTCATATAAAATTATTCAACGAAGGAGAACCTGAAGAAGTTGCTTCCTTATTCAACGATATTCCTTCAATGAATAATAATTCTTGTAATGAATTACGATTACCTAATTACCAACTCTCAATATTTTTCGAACCTTTTGTGAAAGAAGAATAATTATTACTTCTCCAAAGGAACATTAAAAATAAATCCTCCTCGGGTCCTGATGAAGTTCCAATGTTCTTGGTCAAAAAATTCCTTAGTCATATTATTGAATCTCTCACTTATATAATAAATCTTTCATTTCTCACAGGGTCCTTTCCACCTGAATTGAAAGTTGGGAAAATTGTGCCGATTCATGAAAAATCTAACCAGTTATTTATGAGAAATTATAGACCTATCCCGATTCCTTTCTGCTTCTCTAAAATCTTTGAGTATGCCTTCCTAGATAGATTAATAAGATCTATTGAAAAACATGGTTTATTATCAAAGAATCAACATGGTTTCTGTCAGAATAGATCGACTAATAGTGCCACCTTAGCATTCTACAAAAACGTGATTCGGTTTTTAGAAGCAGGAGAGTGTCCTATTGGAATCTTTCGTGATTTCAGCAGGGCATTTGATTGTGTTCAACATAATATTCTGTTTTCGAAATTATACTCATATGGTAAAATCATTGGGTAAAATCTTGGAATACGTTAAAACTTGGGGAAAACATGTCTGACATTCAGTTACAATCTATGCCAGGACTACCAGGAGTTAGGTTTTACCCCAGTTTTAGCGTCATCGTCACGTCAGATAGTGACCTTGAAAACAGCGAATACATTCCCGGCCGCGGTGTTGAGTCAAGGCCAACAAGCATTGAAGGCAAATGGAAATGTGCTTTTACTAGGAGATTTCGGGTGACAGGTTCTAGTACCACCCCCTATACCTCTCTCATTTTTTATATTAGAAAAGAATTCAAGACAGACAGACTCAAAACTAACAGAGTTTGATTGACTTTGAATGATCTTCTTTCTATTGATTTTATACAGGGGGAGTCATTGAAATGGGAAAGTGAGATAACGGCATTGCTCTTTGAGATAGATGAATAAAAATTTTTGTGATGGTCTAGGCTCATGAGCAGCATATTTCTAAGTTACTTTGCGTATACAGGGTGACTCAAATATGCGTGGCATATCAAAGTTCTACTTTTCATTATAGGAAACCCTCTGTATTTTATTGCATTTTCGGATTCTCCTTTGTGAGGTGATTCCATCAATACATTACACTTGGGATCTAGCAGGAATGATTACAGAAATATAGGGTGTTTAAAATCGAGATTTTTCAACATCAACATTTTTTTGTGACAAAACTATTAATTATTGGTCAGAACGGCTCACATGTCTCCATCATAACTGACGGTCTTTTTGACTTAGTTGAAGAGAAAAAAAACTTGCTTGTCAATGATAATTAGCCAGGAAATCTTCCCTATGTTCCTGCTGGCACCAAAGAAAGAATAGGGATTCCCTTTTATGCATTCCAAAAGATGAAAAAAGATTTGCTGTTTTTTAAATGTGCTGATTTCTATTTAAACAATATTTTTTTGACAAATTTGAAATACATATGATTGCATTGTATGTGGCATGAATTCTACTAGTATAGTACCACTTAGCACCCATGATATATTGTAGTCTTCATTTAAAATATTTTCAGCACTGCAGTGTTGCCGCTTCTATCAAAAAGTTGCAACAACTTTGTTATCTGGAACAGAATGCCCTGTATTTTATTGCATTTTTAGATTCTTGCTGAAGAGCTGATTTCATCGATTTATCACACTTGGGGTCTATCGGAAATGATTACAGAGATATAGGGTGTTCAAATTCGAGATTTCTCAACTTCAGGAATTGTTCCTGTTGAAACTATTCATTATCGGCCAAAACAGCTCACATGTCCCTATCTCAACTTTTGATTTATTATTTACTAATATTTAATCATAACAGATACAGGGTGATCAGAATTCTGAATCTTGAACCACCCTGTATCTGTTCCGATTAAATATCAGTAAATAGTGAATCAAAAGTTGAGATAGGGACATGTGAGCCGTTTTGACCGATAGTGAATAGTTTCCACACAAAGAAATCCTAAAGTTGAAAAATCTCAATTTTGAACACCCTATATCTCTGTAATCATTTTCAACTGACCCCAAGTGTGATGTATCGATGAAATCAGCTTTTCAAGGAGAATATAAAAATGCAATAAAATACAGGGTGTTCTATTTGAAATATCAATGTTGCTACTACTTTCTAGTAGAAGCGGCAACACTGCATTGTCTAAAATATTTCAAATGAAGAGAGCTCTAAAATATAAGCATGCACAATTTCATGAATTTCTTTTTTTCTTTGGACTGATTCTGGATATAAAGATAGTGTAAGCTCATTGTGACATACCATGTATATTAAAATACCAGAAGCACACTAATAACAATCTAGGTAGCTGGCTCAATTTCAATTCATCAGACACTTCTGAATGTTGATAGAATTTGATAAACCTTCAATAACCCCTGGAATAATCCTAAACTATTCAATTTCAACATTTTGACATACCTTGTAAGAAGTATTGCTGTAAACATTATCAAACAGTTCCGGAAATCTACTCTGCATTCTCTCAGCCAATAGTAGCATTTCCTCTTCACCTTCATGAACCAACTTTTTTTTGTCTGCAAGTTGAACATATGGTTTCCATTTTTGAAATACATCCACATCTCTACTTTTTACATATTCTGAAAAGACTCAAAAGATTGGAACAACATTATAAGAAAATTATACATAAATATAAAGATAGGATATATGATTCCATACAAATTATAAAATTGTGATTTTGAAGGAAGCATATACATGAGTAGAACTGTGAATTAAAAATACAAGACTGAAGTGCTTTGTACTTCAAATTCAACACAAATTTCAATTCCAAAGAATCCTTTTCAAGCAATTCAACATATTTTCAGAGATCTCATTTCAACTTGATGGAATTTCAGAAACACAATGTTTTTCTCCCCATTTTACTTATCTAATTCCTATTCTTCCAAATTAACTGAAATAAAGAACTCATTTTGGAATGTGAATAAGAATATTTGGGAATTTTAAGAGGTACCTGTTTACTAAATTCATGAATTATGCTAGGATTTATGAAATATGAAATTATACTATTATTAGGCAAATATTATGCTGGTACCTCAGCTGGTAGCAAAATGAAAATTATGGAAAATTAGTTGTATATAGAAATATAGTCTGTATAGATTACATCAGAAATTCCAGGTGAACAGAAATATTTTCTTTGTTTTTTCAGTGATATCTGAAAATAGTGACCAGACTTTTTATAGTACAAGAGTCATTTGGGAGGTGAATGTGTCTTTTATGAAGTCCCATTCAGATGGTTTATAGTCAAAATTTAATATTAGAAAAATAAGGAATATGAACAAACAGAAACAGAAAGGTATTTGTTTTATTACTTGTAAACTGATGTGATTTGATGTTCTCTGCATGGTTTTTTCAATATGGTGGATTCATACATGACTAAACATAGTCATAACTCAAAAATTAGCAAGAGAAGGCTATTGGTGGATTAAGACATGTTATCTGATATCAACCAATAATCATTCCAAATTATTACCTTAACACTATGTTATTGAGTTGAGCAAGCACAAATTCACCATATCATATATGAAGATGTACCTGATTTGTACCTGTTTAGTTACTTATATCAATATATATTTTTTTTATTTAAATTATTCCTCTCATGATATTGGTAAAAATCAAGTGAAAATAAGCAGTTGTTTGAAGGATAGGAGACAATTCAATTGTCAATTTAAAGGCAATTTTTCCATTTATTATAACAGTTATTACTAAATGTACTCTTCTTTCATGTTCAAAATCTGGTCACCTTATCTGCAAATATAAATTACAACATATAAATCTTAATGATTCTTGTATACTCACCATTGGGCAAGTCTTTATTTTGTAGAATCAGATCTTTTATTTCTGGTAATCTAATAGTCATTTTCTCTATGAATCCATATTCTGGATATCTTGTCCCATGTCTCACTAGCATCCAGATTTTCTGAGGAATACATCCTGGACAAAACAAGGAACATTTTAAATATAGGTCAAGTAAGTATTTATGTTGAAACAAGACATACCTTCATATAAAATTCTATCAAAGCTCTGATTTGACACGAATCTGTATGGCGTTTTTGAAGAGAGGTGTTTTTCAAAGGGATATCCAGGATTGGTACACTGTTGAGAAAGGGATAGGAAGCTGCACACCAACACAACAAACAGACTATTCAATATCACCTCCATAATTTCCAGTCGGAAAATGAGAGTGAACTAATCTTCATCCATTACTTATATATTATTGTCGCCTATCGGTTAATAAATTTGGCTGTGCAAAAAAGAGGTTAGCTAACGGTAAGCCCGCATCTGATGGTTTCCTGCTGGGCGATTTCACAGCAAAAGTATGTAGTTATTTCAAAATTGTAGCAAGAGATTAGTCATTCATTCTGATAAAACCCCTCTGATATGAAATGATTACAAAATCACTGAATTATTTCAATATTTCAATAACAGTAATTTGACTTTTGATTTAAAAAATCCGAGGAGAAATCAAAACAATTAACATAACCCAACTTTTCCTTCTTCCAATTTCGATAAGTCTTTTTTAGATTTTTAGATAGCAAAAGGAAGTGGCTACCATGGAAGGTTTGTTAATCTGTGTTATGGACAGTTACATAACTCAAGCAAGGTAATAAAACATGAATAAAACTTGGATTTCTTGGATATATAGGGGGTCCAAACATGTACAATTTTGAATGTTATCGAGTGCTATGACATCATTGACATCCATTGCAATCAAATATTAAATCGCATGTTAACGTCGCACTCGAATGAATCGCGTTATTTCCAAATGTAACGAAAATTGTAGAAGGACACTATAAGAGAGTAATGACCGAGCCAACACATTATCAGTGTCATGACATGTGAGATGTCGCGTTCAGGTAACAGTGCGATATCACAAACGTTCCATCGCTGCCATGTTCATATGAGACAACACATATGCGACATGACATATCTCTTTGACATGTCGCGATGAAGCAACAATGCGATATTAAAGAATATGTTACATATCGCTGATGAGATATACCGGGTGGCTAGGGAAGTATTGCCTACGGAATATCTCAGTTATTGTATGTAGTAGGTTTGTGGAATTTGGAGCGTCAATATAATGACATAAGAGCTAGAATTTGAGCATATTGACATGTCGAAGTTAACTTCCGGTCTGACCGGAAGTAACAGCAACTTTATTATTTTAAATGGAAACCCTATTTTTTTTTTCTCTTCGCTTTACTCAGCATTCAATTCCCTTTCTAATGACATATCACAAGTTGGTATCTAACCAGAAACTAGATCAGAGAAAAATTATTATTATTGAAATTCAACGAGTAGGCCGTGGAAGCAAAATGAAAGCCAAAAAATGACTTTCTATTATGTCATTATAGAAAGGAATGGTTATACTTAATAGTACAGGCAAGAAAAAGTTGTATGTTTCTATTTGAGTTATGGACCTACAGAGTATTTTTTTTCCCAATTTTTCCAATATTTTTTTTGGCGGCTTTTTATAACGCCGACGAATGAAAATAAAATATCACAGTAGTAGCAACTGTTATCAAGTGACGTATGGTTTCCATAGCCAACTTTTAAATTTTTGGTTTTCATTTTGCTTCCACGGCCTTACTCGGTGAATTTCGATAATAATTTTTTTCTGATCTAGTTTTTGATTATATATCAACTTGTGATATGTCATTAGAAAGGGAATTGAATGCTGAATAAAGGGAAAAGAAAAAAAAATAGGGTTTCCATTCGAAATAAGAAAGTTGGTGTTACTTCCGGTCAGACCGGAAGTTGACTCCGACATGTCAATATGCTCAAATTCTAGCTCTTATGTCATTATATCGACGCTCCAAATTTCACAAACCTACTTCATACAATAACTGAGATATTCCGTAGGCAATACTTCCGTAGCCACCCGGTATATACAGAAGCAAGCACATCTGCGAAATGACATCTCTGAGAGATGGTGCGATGAGGCAACACTGCGATATATAATGAATGTTCCATCGCTGCTATTTACAGAAGCAAACATATCTGCTACATGACATCTATAAGAAGTCATGCATGATGACGTGCGGCAACAATGTGATATCACGGATGTTGCATCGCTACGATGTACAATAAGCAAACTCATATACGTATACGTGAAATTAAAAAAAAATATTTAGATTCTTATTGTTCAGTGAAAAAGAATACATGAATATACGTTACTCAACAAAGTGAAGCAAATATTCGTATTGCTATCAACTATTCTTGTTTTGCTTATATATCGCCGACAGGCGCGTGCCTGAGGGGGGGGGTAATGGGGTAATTACCCCCCCCCATGACCACGATGATGATGAAAAAATTTGAACATTCCTTATTTTCAAACTTAAAAAATGATGATGATGAAGACACAACGATGGGCTTTCACACCTGTCTTCTAGTCTTCAGGCTTCTAGTCACAACATTAAATTATAAATTTCGCAATCAGGGTGGCGCATTATGGAGTTGAGTGTTGAGTGAACTGGGTTTTTATTTGTTATTGTTCGCCGACACAACGACGGCCGAATTCACGAAGCAGGTGCTTATGTAAATACATTAAATACTTGAAATGAAATAGTCGGGAATACGCCGAAATAAGTTCGTCGTTCATTGTGTTTTGTTGGCTATGCTAGGGTGCATCATTTTTATCTATTCGTAACCTGTTTTTATTATTTTGTCTGTTTTGTTATGTTTATATATTTTTAGTTGTACATTCTCTCATTTTTGAGTTATATTGTTTTCGTTTTGAAGAATATTCTGCTAATTTATTTTCAGTTACACATTTACTTATTTTTCAGTTATTATTTTTGTGTTGAATGATATTCTCTTTATTTATTTTTACATTCTTTTATATTCGAGTTATTGTTTTCGTTTCGAAGAATATTTATTCTGTTATTTATTTTAAGTTATACATTTTTTTATTTTTGAGTTATTATTTTCATTTTGAAATATATTCTGTTTATTTATTTTTACACTCTCTCATATTCGAGCTATTGTTTTAAAGAACATTTTGTTAATTTTTTTTAAGAATTAAATATGAATGCCTTAGTGTTACTGAAGTTTAACTTTTTAAAACGTAGGAAATATTGGTCCTGAAATGGGTGATTACCCCCCCCCATGAAATTACCCTAGGCACGCGCCTATTCGCCGACACACACTTCATAATATTTGATACATTTGATTGAGTGACACAGAGATCTTATTCTGATAGGGATTCTTATATACAATGTGACCCACTCCTAATGGAAACACCCCTGTATCTTTCGTAATCGTTGGGTGAGGATCCTGAAATTTGCTGGAGCGAGAAATATACCAAAAATGCACTTTGTGGCCACGTGGGGTCATCTTGAGCGATATACACTGCTCGCCAACAGTCATGGAACCACCCCAATTTCCGGAAAATGATATTAGGAGTCAAACTAGTTTGAAAATCAATTCGGATTCGGAATCAGGACGCCCAATTCACTAACTATTCATATTTTTCCTGGAAAATTTTCAGTTCTGAAAAATCAAATTTTGTCGCACTTTTCACGGAAGCACCCCCGTATATCTTACGTGATTGACTTCATCTTTGGACTTCCCCTTGCTCCTGCAAATTTAAGAACCCTACCTCAATAATTACATAAGATACGAGGGTGCTTCCGTAAAAAGTGCGACAAAATTTAATTAATCAGAACTGAAAATTTTCCAGGAAAAATATGAATAGATAGTGTATTGGGCGCCCTGATTCCGAATCTGGAGTGATTTTCAACCTATCTTGACTCCTAATATCATTTTCCGGAAATTGGGGTGGTTCCATATGGCTGTTGGCGAGCAGTGTATAATAATGAATATGACCCCACTTGGTCATAGAGTGCATTTCTTGATATTTCTTTTGCTCCAGAAGATTTCAGGATCCTTATCCAAAGATTACGTAAGATACAGGGATGTTTCCATTAAAAATGGGTCACACTGTAGGTACCAATAGGGATATACAGAGTGCCGCTGAAAAGACGATTGAAATGGACAGGAGACGCGAGGGGACCACCAATCAGTAACAGCAACGGATATATGAATATTAGATGTCATCAGAAGTCAGTGGTGTACTGGTGTACCTATTTTCACACCATCATCATGTTTGAGGAAACTTTTTTGTTTTATTTACTGCGATGTCATCTCGCATGACATCATAGTTTTATCGCAAATGCGCTTTTCCATCACAAATAACATATCGCAATTACATTGCGCATAAAATATATCGTTAATTTTCATATCGCAGAGAACTTATGCGCAGTAACGTCGCATGGATGAAACTTGAGTGGGACAAAATAAAATCCCTCTGACATCGCAGGTCACAATTGTTACATATCGCTGCGATATCTCTGTGATGTAATTGTGTTTGCTGGGGAGCCAATAATAAATTAAAAGTAGGTAGTAGTAGTCCGCGGGCTGTAAATTGCCACTTCACGCCCGCAAAATCAAGCGGTAAAGTGCTACTTTACGCAGGGTCGTGCATAAAGTAACAAAACTGTGTTGATGAATATTTAACTGAACATTTTTCACTTCAAATATAAGTATACCGGGTGTAACTGGATGGCTGAAAATTCAGGATATGGTTCCCCAGCTCATTTCGATTTCGAGCTATAGGGTGTTAAAATTGTATTTCCTCTCTATCGATTGAAGAAACTTTCATAATGTAAGAAACTGTCTCGTTTATGAATACAAAATAGGGCAGGACAAGTTTCAAATAATCTCGTTATACCACGAATGCATGAAAATAGTTTTTATTTTTTTTTTTTCGCGAAAACTGTTTGTCGGACGGAAAAAAATCCTATTGTTGCATAGTAGATGCATGTGAAACTTCATGAAAATATCTAGAACAGTATTGAAGTTATGATAAGAAAACGATTCTTTTCTTAAAATCGTAGCACCCTGTAGCTCGCAAATTATTAAGAGGATTAGAGGGCATATGTTCATATGCATTTTTCTTCTTAAAATGAGCTAGGAACCATCATATTATCCTTTATGTTTAGCCATCAATTTGCCGTTTGCCGGATCAGCTATAGTATATATAAGTGTATAATAATACAATATAATAATAATACATATATAGGTATGTATTATAATACAATAATGTATTATTAAGACCGTATTCAGCCCTCTTAATATAACTATAAATTATACAGGCT